GCCTGTTTTATATCCTCTGCATTTTTTGCAGGCTGCCCGAAATCCTTTCATGGGCTGAATGTTGTGCAGACCTGCTCTAAGCACTACACGTACAGGTCTTTTACATTTAAAATGTCGTTTGTTTTTAATTTTATTTATCTTGAACTTAACAGCAATTAAAAAGAGCATTTTCCTATATCAAATAGAACAGAAAAAGCTACATGTGTGGAATGAACTATCCCTGTTATGGACAGTCAGCGCTTCTTTTTAAGGGTAGGATAGACTCCACATAGAACTTTCCAAGGTGTCCTGCCTTCAGGTTCTCCCTCTGCTCTCTTAAGTGAAGTTTGAAAAATCCTTTTGGCAGCCCTCGCCCTCACCTCCCTTCTTCCCATCAGCCCCCCAATGAAAAGAAAGACAAATCTGTATGGTCCACGTTAGCAAATGTCTGAAAACGTCTCCCCTTCTCTCCCTGGCTTTCCCTTTTCCCTCTTTTCACGAATCAAGCCACTTTCGGACCTGCATGATCATGCCCACCCTTCTTAAGTCTTCCAAAGTTTGGGGTTTTCTTTTTCTTTAGGATGTTTTTGTTATTGTGTATATTGTTCTCCTGGTTCCACTTATATTACTAGATAATCAGTTAAGGTTTCTCCAGGTTTCCCTGACACTTCTTTTTCATCATTTCCAATGGCTCAGTAATATTCCATTAATTCATTTAGCACAGTTCATCGTTTTCCCAGTTTGACAGACCCTTTCCTGGTTCCCAGTTCTTTTGCATAGTGAAAGGAGCTGCTGTCACACCATTTTTGTTCTTTGGTTCCTTTTATCTCTCTCTTTTTTACTCTGTTTGGGCTACAGACCTGGTAGGAGCATCTCTGAGTCATGTAGTAGTTTTGGAGGCGCATTTCCAAGTTGATTTCCAGGATGGCTGTTTCCAAGACTCACAGCTCTACCAGCCGTGCATTGTTGCCTCCCATCCACTCTTTTTTGACCATTTGGGCCAATCTGATGGGTGTGAGGTAGAACCACAGAGTTGTTTTAATTTGTATTTCTTTAATTATTAGTGGTTTGGAGCATTTTTATGTATCTTTTTTGTTTGTTTAGTATTTCATTTTCCCCAATTACATGTAAACTTTGAGTTCCAAATTCTCCCCCTCCTTCCACACCCCTCTCAATGAGAAGGCAGGCAGTTTGATATAGGTTATACATGTGTAGTCATGCAAAACTTATTTCCATATTCATCATGTTGTGAAAGAAAACAGACATAAAAAAAAACTCGAGACAAATAAGGAGTCAGAAAAACAGAATGGATAGCATTTTTCATCATAAGTCCTTCGGAGTTGTCTTGGATCATTGTATTACTGAGAATACCAAAGACATTCATGGCTGTCCATCTTAAAATATTGCTGTTACTTTGTACACAGTAGATGTCACTTTGCATCAGCTTCTGTGAATCATTCCAGGTTTTTCTGAGAGCATCCTGCTCATCATTTCTTATGGTGCGGTAATATTCCATCAGTCACATACTACAACTTGTTCAGCTATTTCTCAGTTGATGGGCATTCCCTTCAATTTCCAATTCTTTGGCACCAGTAAAGAGCTACTGTAAATATTTTTGTACATATAGGTCCTTTCCCTTTGTTTTTTTTAATCTCCTTTTGGATACAGACCTAGTAGTGATATTGCTAGGTCAAAGGGTATGTGTGGTTTTATAGCCTTTTGGACATAGTTGTAAATAGCTCTACAGAATGGTTGAATCAGGCCACAACTCTACCAACAGTGTGTTAATGTCTCATTTTTCCCACATCCCCTCCAACATTTGTCCCTTTCTTTTTCTTTCCAATTCCACTTTAATAGATGTTAGGTAGTACTTCTGAATTGTTTTAATTTGCATTTCTCCAATCAGTGATTTTAGAGTATTTTTTTGTATGGTTATAGATAGTTTTGATTACCTCATCTGAAAACTGATCATGTCTTTTGATCATTTATCGATTGGGGAATGGCTCTTATTTTTATAAATTTGACTCAGCCCACTATATGTTTGAGAAATGAGGCCTTTATCAGAGAAACTTGCTTCTAAATTTTTTTCACAGTTATGATTCCTAACTACATTTCCCTCCATCTTATTTCCCCCTCCGTTGGTTCTATTCTGTCTTTCCTTTCACCCTGTCCCTCCTCAGAAGTGCTTTGCTTCTGACTACCGTCTCTACCAATGTTTTCCCTTCTATCAGTACCACCGGCACGCCTCACCCTGCCCCCAACTTCTCCAATCCCCTTCCCCTCCTACTTTCCTGTAGGGTAAGAAGGATTTCTATACCCAATTGAGTGTGTATGTTATTCCCTCTTTGAACCAATTCGAATGAGAATAAGGTTAACTCGCTCCCTTTTACCACCTCCATCTTCCCCTCCACTGTAAAAGCTTTTTCTTGCCTTTTTTATGTGAGATAATTTGCCCCATTCTACCTTTTCCCTTTCTCCCAGTGCATTCCTCTCTCACCCTTTGATTTTTTTTTTTAGATATCATTCCTTCATATTCAACTCACACTTGTGTCCTCTGTCTCTATATACTTCTTCTAACTGCTCTAATAATGAGAAAGTTCTTATGAGTTATAAATATCTTCCCATGTAGGAATGTAAACAGTTTTAACATTATTATGTCCCTTATGATTTCTCTTTGCTGTTTTCCTTTTTATGCTTCTCTTGAATCTTGTACTTGAAAGTCAGTTTTTCTATTCAGCTTTGGTCTTTTCATCAAGAATGCTTGAAAGGCCTCTATTTCATTGAATGTCTCCTTTATCCCATGAATGATTATACTCAGGTTTGCTGGGTAGGTGATTCTTGGTTTTAATCCTATTTCCTTTGACCTCTGGAATGTCATATTCCAAGCCCTAAGATTCTGTAATGTAGAAGCTGCTAAATCTTGTGTTAGCCTGACTATGGCTCCATGATAATTGAATTGGTTCTTTCTGGTTGCTTGCAGTATTTTCTCCTTGACCTGGGAACTCTGGAATTTGGCTATAATATTCCTGGGAGTTTTAATTTGGAAATCTGTTTCAGGAGGTGATTGATGGATTCTTATCCTCTGATTCTAGAACATCAGGACAGTTTTCCTTGATCATTTCTTGAAAGATGATGTCTAGGCTCTTTTTTTGATCGTGGCTTTCAGGTCGCACAATAATTTTTAAATTTTCTCTCCTGGATCTTTTTTCCTGGTCAGTTGTTTTTCCAGTGAGATCTTTCACACTGTCTTCTATTTTTTCATTCTTTTGGTTTTGTTTTATTGTTTCTTGATTTGTCATAAAGTCATTTGCTCAATTCTCATATTTAAAGAATTATTTTCTTCAGTGAGCTTTTGTACTTTTCCATTTTTCAGTGCATTCTTCTCACTGGCTTTTTTGTATGTCTTTTTACCACTTGGCCTATTCTGTTATTTAAGATATTAAGGCGTAATTTTTTGTATCCTTTTCCAAGCTGTTGACTCTTTCTTCATGATTTTCTTGAATCAATCTCATTTCTCTTCCCAATTTTTCTTCTACTTTTCTAACTTGATTTTCAAAATCCTTTTTGAACCTTCCCTGGCCTGAGACCAATTCATATTTTTCTTGGAAGCTTTGGATGTAAGAGCTTTGAGTTTTTTATCTTCTTCTGAGTGTATATTTTCATCTTCCTTGTCACCAGAGTTAACTTCCTATGATCTGAATTTTTTTTTCTGTTGTTTGTTCATTTTTTCCAGTCTATTTCTTGACTTTTAACTCTGCTAAGGTGGGTCTCTGCTTCCAGAGAGGAGGTTGCACTGTTCCAAGCTTCAGGGGTTTTGTGTACCTGTTTTCAGGGGTACTTTTCGGAACCTGTAAGTTTTCAATTCTTCCAAGGTGGTATGATGTAAGGAGAGGTGTGTTTACTACTCTCCTGGCCTGTGCTCTGGTCTGTGATTGACCACAAGCACTCTTTTCTGCCCTGGAACTGTGAGGAGTGTTCCTGCTTCACTGTGGCTGCAAGCTCTGGTGTGCTGGGGCTCCTCCTCGCCCTAGGACTGCCACCCAGGACTACAACCTGGATTCGAGTATGAGCAAAGCAACGGAGTCCTGCTCCTAGTGCCAGCAAAGACACCCCTGTAATCTCCTTCTGGCCAGTTGTTTGACCCCCTTACCGGCTGTAAGCTGAGAGCTCTGGAAGCAGCAGCTGCTGATGCAGCGGCTGCCCAGGCCTGCTCCAGGGACCAAGTTTCCTCGGGCCAGGCCATGCTGGCAAGGCCTGGGCTGGACTGTGCTGCACTCTTACCCACGTGACATTCTTCGTGCTGACCTTCTAGGTTGTCTTTGGCTGGCAAATGATTTCACCCTGTCCTTTTGTTGGTTCTGCTGCTCCAGGAATTGTTTTATGGCATTATATTGAGGTATCCAGAGGGGTTTGGGGGAGAGCTCAGGCGAGTCACTGCCTTTTTCCCGCCATCTTGGCTTCACTCTCATGTGTCTTTTTTTTCCTTTTTTTTTTGCATGGGGGGGTTGGGGGAGGGGTGTGGGGTGAGGCAATTGAGGTTAATTGACTTGCCCAGAGTCATGCAGCTAATGAGTGTCATATGTCTTGGATTGGATTTGAACTCAAGTCCTCCTGGCTCCAGGGCCAGTGCTCTATCCACTATGCCACCTAGCTGCCCCCACTTCATGTCTCTTAAGAAATCGTTTTCTTCATTTTTGAGCTACCTATTCATAACCTTTGACCATTTATCTTTTGGGGATGTTTTAAAATTATTAGTAATTTTTTCATTTTCAGTTTACAAATAAGAGAGAACTCTAGAAGTAGGATAAGAGGATGCCAGGATTTCTGTTATGCAGCTTTGTAATACCTACCAAATTCTGTCAGTGTGGCCCAGAGTCCTACATTGGTCATATTGCTGATGTGTGGAATTAGTCAAGAGGAATAAGTGTAATTTATACAGAGACGGTGTTAGCAGGCGTTTGGTAAATGCCTTTCTGACATTTCACAGACGTGCAGCTTCTTATTTTGTTCTGATTTCCCAGGCATGAACTGCTGGAGGAAGCACGAAGACAAGGCCTTCCTTTTGCCCAGTGGGATGGGCCAACCGTGGTTGTGTGGCTCGAGGTAATGATGTGGAGGAAAACTCTGGAAAGAGGCTTTTCTTCAATGCTAGTAGTACATTTTTTTTAATTTAATTTAATTTTTAAAAATTAATTAATTTTGATTTATCAACCATCACTTCCATAAGCTTTTGAGTTTTAAATTTTTCTCTCCCTCCCTCCCCATCTCCCTTCCCAAGGTGGTGAGCAATCTGATATAGGCTCTACATATACATTCCTATTAGACATATTTTCACATTAGTGATGTTGTGAAAATTAGAACCAATAGGAAGAACCACCAGAAACAGGAAACAAAACACAACAGAAGAAAAAAAAATATATCAAATAGTATGCTTTGATCTGCTTTTAAACTCCATAGTTCTTTCTTTGGATGTAAATAGCATTTTCCATCATAAGGCATTTGGAAATGTCTTAGATCCTTGTATTGCTGAAAAGGGTTAAGTCTATTAATATTAGTCATCTCCCAACATGGCTGTTACTGTGTACAACGTTCTCCTGGTTCTGTTCACTTCCCTCAGCATCAGTCCATACAAGTCTTTCCAGGTTTTTCTGAAGTCTGCCTATTCATCATTTCTTATAGTATAATAATATTCCATTACATTCATATACCACAACTTGTTCAGCCACTCCTCAGTGGATGGGCATCCTCTCAATTTCCAATTCTTTGCCACCACAAAAAGGGCTGCTATAAATATTTTTGTACATGTTGGTCCTTTTCCCATTTGTATGATCTCTTTGGCATACAGACCTAGGAGAGCTATTGCTGGGTCAAAGGGCATGCATATTTTTATAGCCTTTTGGGCATGGTTCCAAATTGCTCTCCAGAATGGTTGGATCAGTGCACAACTCCACCAACAATGCATTAGCATTCCAATTTTCCCACATCTTCTCCAACATTTATCATTTTCCTGTTTTGTCATGTTGGCCAATCTGATAGGTGTGATGTGGTACCTCAGAGTTGTTTTGATTTGCATTTCTCTAATCAGTCATGATTTAGAGCATTTTTTCCATATGACTAATAGATAGCTTTAATGTCTTCATCTGAGAACTGCCTGTTCATATCCTTTGGCTCTAGTAGTACATTTCATTGTATCTAAATCCATACTGTGGACTGGGGATGATACTCAGTTTTGCTGTTTTTTTTCCCAGCTGTGGGTCGGGATGCCTGCGTGGTACGTGGCTGCTTGCCGAGCCAATGTGAAGAGTGGGGCCATCATGTCTGCCCTGTCTGATACTGAAATACAGCGTGAGATTGGAATCAGCAATCCTCTGCACAGGCTAAAGCTGAGGCTGGCCATCCAAGAAATCATGTCCTTGACGAGTCCGTCTGCCCCGCCCACGTCCAGAACGGTGAGCGATCGGGAGTCTGAGAGAAGCTTGCTAAAGTCACCTGTCCCTTCCCATTCTCATCCTTACAGATTCAGAATCTTAGCAACAGCCGAATAGGGCTGGCGATGATTGACAAGAAGGGCACAGTTTGTGTCTTGTTTGTCCTCGTAGGGTCTTGGTAAGTGACTTTGTAGAAAGGTCTGCGCATAGAACTTGGGCAGAATAGCATTCTGATGACCTAAAAAAGTTGGGAATAATCTTCAGGACAGAACATGCTTCTTACCAAAATTTAGTAAAAGTCTCTGGAAACTGCCCTTGAGGAGGGAAAAGGAGAAATTTGATGACATACATATATATATGTATATATGTGTGTTCTTCCTAACTTGATTCATTTTGCCTTCACTAATTAGAATTTGAGATCAGTCAGGTAGAATTGACTGAAGTTTAATGAAGCTCGTATGAAAAAAGACTGTTTGCTAATCAAGTATTGTAAGTAAGATCATAGAGTTCACACTTGTACAGTCTGGTGGCATAGCCAGTGAACACGAGATTTTGAGGTCACATTTATCCGCACAATGAAACAGGTGCCTAAAAATTTCAGACTGGTCTTCACTTCCTCTTCCCTTCTGCTCTACGTCCAAAGTAGTGGTTTAGTTCATCATATGCAGCCCATCAGATCTCTAATAGTAGGAAGACTGCTCTCAGTTTATTCAGTCTGTCTGCAGTATCCAGGTTTTGGCTATTGATCAGGAAGCGCAATCCCACGGGCAGAGACTCTTAAGTATTGACCATTTGAAGCTTGATCACTTCTCCCAAGAGACATTCCTTTGGCTTATAGTCAGCCAGAATAAAGTTGCCTCGTTTCAAAAAATGTTCAGAGAATGAGCACACCTGTTTTAAACATATTAATTTTTTTTCCCCAAGGACAGAATCATGATCTTATTCTTAAAAGGAAATGATCATAATAGTACACAATGATGTGTCTTTTTATATTCAGATAATAGCTTAATCCTTATTTGAACTTTTTTTTGGGGGGAGGGGCTAGGCGGTGGGGTTAAGTGACTTGCCCAGGGTCACACAGCTAGTAAGTGTTATGTGTCTGAGGCTGGATTTGAACTCAGGCCCTCCTGAATCCAGGGCCAGGGCTCTATCCACTGCACCACCTAGCTGCCCCCTTGAACTTTTTTTTTTAAAGAAAAATACTTTTATTTTATTTACCTGTTATTCTTTGAGATGCCTTTTAAAAAAACTGCAGATTTTTAGAAGTTAGCTAGCTTTCATATTAAGATGCCTCGATTTTGGTTACTTGTTATCACAGTTAACTTTAGTCTTTATATGAACCAGGATTATAATGTTAAATCTAAGAAACAGAGAAAATGGGTTTCCTTTGATTTTGAAAATAATACAGAGTTGGTATTTAATGGTCACATACCACATTTTATTTTATTTCTATTTTATTTCTGTTTTTTTGGGGTCTTTTTGCTAGGCAGTGGGGTTAAGTGACTTGCCCAGGGTCACACAGCTAGTAAGTGTCAAGTGTCTGAGGCTGGATTTGAACTCAGGTCCTCCTGACTCCAGAGCTGGGACTTCATCCACTTTGCCACCTAGCTGCCCACGCCTACCACATTTTAGAATGCGGTTGCATAGTGAATGACAGCTATGTGATCTTGAATTCAGCTGTATAATCATATTTTTTTAGACCACTTAAATACACTGAAAAGAAAATCTTTATTTAAATGTAAAATCCTCAGGCGTTACCTGTTTGATAAAATTATCCTTTAGGAAGAGAAGACCTTTAGTGTTTAACTTTTGAATTCCTGAAAGGCTCCCGGGGGGTGGGGGGGTGGGGGGGGTGGTCCTAAGCTTCCCCAGCTTTTATTGATAAAAGCAGCATACACAGGTGTCCTTATGTTAGGGACATCATCTTGGGGCTCTCAGTGCTATGGCTCAAGCCCCAAGGCCTGGCACGTCCCTGTTGCTTATGTTCTGCAACCCACCCTTTCCTCTTTGTTACTGCTTTCCTTTCGTGGGATGTGACTTACTGTCACCGGGGTCATGTCAGACCACGGGGAATGTCTGGTTAACACATGAAGAAATGGAAAACCCTGACAGCAACACCTCACACGGTCAGTGCTGGTACCTCTTCTTGTTGTATTCGTGGGCCCACAAACTGATGTGGACTTACTGAAGACAATTATTCCTTTTGGGCATTAATTGTTCAAAATCAGAATCATCAATGTGTAAATTTTTAGTACCCTGAAATTAATTGTGTGACTTTAATTTAACTCTTCTCAGAGAGTCTTAATTTATTTACTAATTTCTTGCTAATTTGAGCTTAAGATGCTTCCTTCCCTCTCTTCATTTCTTCCTTCCTTCTCCCTCCCTCCCTTCCTCTTCCCTCTCTTCCTTCTTCCCTCCTTCCCTTTCTCCTTTCTTTCCTCCCTCCATGCCTCCCTCCCTCCCTTCCTTCCTTCTTCCCTCCTCCCTCCCTCCCTCCTTTCCTTCCTTCCTTCCTTCCTTCCTTCCTTCCTTCCTTCCTTCCTTCCTTCCTTCCTTCCTTCCTTCCTTCCTTCCTTCCTTCCTTTTTCTTTCTTTCTGTAGAGGTGTTTGGTATATGGGGGAAAAACCTTGCTCTTTATTTGCATGAAGAATGCCAGTTGTTTTGCATGGTTATTGCATGGTGCCTTTGCCTTTGAACTTATTTTGCTCACAGTTAAGTTGCATGAGTATGACAGCATTTACTGGCTGGTATCTCTGAACTTACCATTACTAATCGTTGTATCCTTTTGCTTTTTTAACCACGTAACATCAGGACGATGAGGAGGGAAGCTGGGCTCAGGTTGGAGACTTTCTCTAATTTGTTCCTCATTATGTTTACATACGTTCCCCAAAGCAGTGAATGCATGGAAGCTTGTGCCTTTGTTGATGTCATCAGCATCCGAATCACTTGAAAACTGTTAATGATTTAATAACATAAATCAAAACTGTCCGACGGTCCCAACGCTTTGATTAAAAGAGTAGTTAATGTCTCATGGACAGTTGTGAAAATCTTTCAGGTGTGATTTTGATGATAATTTGTGATTAACACAAATTTTTATGTAAAATGCCATGAGTGATTCACAAAGGGCCTGATGCCTAGACATCTCCTGAAGTTATAGTCCTTTGGTGGTGGGGAGGGATCTTATTTTACTGCTGCTGTTGTTTTTTTTCAATTATAGGAATAGCTTTGTATGCTCTGTGAGAGGGGCAGGCGCACACACGCACACGCACACGCACATACCCATATCGGTTGAAGTCTTGTCTCACTGAGCTGAGCAGACATCAGCATGCTTCCTGCCTGGATTGTTTTGAAATGACATTGTGTAGGGAGTCAGGGGACATGGTTCTGACTGAAGCTGGGACACTAAGGAGTCATGTGAGGTTGGACAGGTCACCTCTTTCTTTGAGCCTCTGTTTACTTGTCTAGGATCAGGCTGGAGCCCATGACCCCTGACATCAGAATTGGATGCAGTGTTGGTTGGTGTTGAGCAGGTTCCCCTTCATGGGGGTTCTTGCTGTAGAATGTCAAGAAGCCCTTTCTTACAGTCGTCTTTTGGCATCTCAGTCTAAACAATCCACAGCCTTGCAGTTGTTTTGCAACATGTTTAAGACGCCGCTGTGCAGAAGGCACCGTGTGCTGTAAAGACAAAAATCAAACCCTCCCGGCCAGAGCTCCACGAGCAGCTTGCGTTGTGTTGGAGGCCGCGATGTGGACTTGGAAGTCACTACAGAAGTTGTCTCTCGCGTGGGGCGTGTGGAACACAGCCTCCTACGAGGAAGGCCGGCTCACGCAGGGGTTGGGTGGGAGCTGCGGCATGAGTCTGTTTTGGCTGGAATGGAGAGGGTACAGAAGGGACCAAGTTGGGGAGCGGTCTGGAAAGTTAGTTTGGAACCCAATTGGGAAGTCGCATGACAGACAGAAGAATTGGTAGTGCAGGGGTGGGACGTGAGAGAGGGAGTCTGATAGGGAGGCTGTGGAAACAGTCCACAGAAGGGGCAATGTACCTAGGGGCTTAGAGGGGAGTGTACTTGGTGAGGAAGGGTGTATCTGAAGGTGATCATCCAGTTGGCTCAGCAGGGCCTTAGGCTCCAGAGCCCAGGCTCTATCCACAGACAATCTTCTCATGACTAAGGTAACAAGCTTAGGCCATAGGGGTGTGGGGGCCATCTGCATATAAACTGTCACACAACCCATGGAGATTAATGAGCAGGAAGAGAACTGAGGGGGTGGCCAGCCTTCTGATTCCTTTTGTTTGGTGAGTCCCTGTCCGAGGACATATCCTCTGTCCTCAGTGATAGAAACGGTGCATAAAGCAGGTTTTACATCTTACTAGTTCCAGGCATGGTTCAAATGGACAAGGAAGGCAGACAGTCAGTACTTGGACCTCACACTCTACTGGCAGAGACATATAGATGAGGCTTCTGCAGCAGATTGGATAGAAAGGTCCCAGGCCCCTGAGGGAGCAGTTGCAAAGCCGGTGGTCAGGCCTCTTCTCTCATGTCATTGCCACTGAGAAAATGGCTTTTGTTTCTGATGGAGAGCTATTGGCCAGGGCTGAGAGCCCCAAGGTCTTCAGGACCTGTGGCTGTAGCTAGGGTAAAGCGTGCCGGGATTTCAAAGTTACGAGATTGACCTTTCCCTTCATGCAACAGAGACATATTTCCTGGACCCTCTTTTATTACCAAACAGGGTCCTAGCTTGGAATCCTTCGTGATTTAGCCTCATTTAATTCTGTAATGGTTTGGATCACATCTGACCAAAGGTCAGGAGGAATATTGTTAGGAAAGTCTTAAATGCTCTTCTCTCATCTTCATCTTGGTCTGGGTGAGATTTTAACTCAGCAAATTCTTTTCAATCCTTAATGATCATTTAGAGCAGGTTCATTTTTCACAACAGGAAATTAAATTCAGCCACATTTGGATTTTGTTTTCTTACAAACATGGCACAAAACTTGATTTATATTAATATTCTTTGTAACAGAAATATTAACAGACAAGGCAGGCAAGGAACAGTGACTAGGATTGGCTGACAGTCTTTAACGTACCTCTAGTCCCTTACATTTTATATGTGAAGACTTAAAAAGCACCCACCCAGTGTGTTTGCCTTCCCGTATCTCTGTGGTGGAAAGAATGCCGCTTTCACTGCCTGCGTTGTGCAGGTGAGAAACGTGAAGATCAGAGAGGTTAATTCTCTTGGAGTCCTTCTGCTCTTCCTTATCCTCCACATCCCATCAGTCTCTGGCTGTTGTAGCTTCTACCTCCACAGCTTCTCTCCAGTTAATACACCTGCAGATTGGTTTTCTCTAAATACAAGCCTGACCTGTCCTTCCTTTTCTGACCCTCTGACAGGTGTCTGGAAAGCCCTTAAATTCCTGGCTTCCTTCCAGACTCAGCTCAACCAAGGCCTTTCCCTTTTTCCAGATGCCTGTGTCTTCCCCTCCCATCTGCTTTGTGCCTCCTGATGTTCATGGGATCTCCCACATGGAGTGGAAGTTCCTTGAGGGCAGGAATCGTTTTGGTTTTGTATCTCTCTCCAGCTCCTAGCTGAGTGCCATAAACCGACTGAGAGTTAGGGCTTAGGTCGCTGATTTCCAACTCTAAGGCCAGTGTTCTTTCCATTTTACATCACTACTTTTGAACGCCATTTGATGGTATTTTTCCTCCCCTGTGTTTGAATAGGAAATATACATTCCCCATAGCATGTTCTTCTGGCAATAGTTTGCCCAGCTGCCACTCAGAAAGGTTCCATGAGTGGCCTTCTTCAAGAAATCTGCCACAGAGCAGGTTGCAGAGATGGAAGGAAGCTCATCCTCTCTCGATACATAACAGCCTCTGAATACATACTTGCCCGTAGCAAATAATGTAGGCCACGGGCCATCCAGACTCCTCCAGGAGGCTGGTGAGGTGAGGCCGTGTGTATATGGCCGAAGGCTGCTGCGTTACTGCTGGCATCCATCTGTCAGCCTTGTGGGGAAGGCATCTGGACAGGCCGACTCAGCCTCCATCTGAGGACGGCCTCGTCTGAGCACCACGAGTGGCAGCTGTGCTTGAGGGCCCATGATTGGCCCCCTGGTCTTGATTTAGAATGAAGTCTGTCATGGATGTGACAAACGATTAGACAAGACCAGCAGTCACTTTGCCCAGCTCTTTGGAAGGCAGCTTTGTCTCTTGGTCCAGTCTGGGTAGGACATGGCCAGCCAGAAAGAGTCCCATCCTCTAGCCTTTGTGTGTCCCCCGGGGGTGTTGGGTCCTTTAGAGGGGTACTCGGGAATAGTCCTGCCTGAGCTGTGGTGAAAGTCTGCTCCCTGTAGGGTGTGGTCGTGCTCGTTGGTGTCCTGGCCAGAACCGTCCAGGCCTCCTGCATGTGCCCCAAGAGAACGTGTGTAATAACATGTGTGGAGGGAATGCCCTTTCTTCACAACAAGCAGCATTATCACCATTTTACAGGTTACTAAACTGAGGCTCTCCAAGATTAAGTGACTTGTGTAAGTGCCTGAGGGAAGATTTGAGCCCAGGACTCCTGATCCCAAGCTTAGGGCAGTGTCTCCTCTGCCAAGCTGCTTTATTCACAGGGAATCTGTTATTGTACCAGAGCATACAGGGTCTGTGGGCCCTTGACTTCCACAGGAAAGATTCACACTTTATATCTGACACAGACAACTCTTAATGGAATCATTCTTCCCCCATCGTGTGCTTAAAAAATAAGATTGGCTAATCTTTTCAAGCTGTTTGTGAGTCATGACCCTTCTTTGTAGTTCAACAGTTAATGAGACTCAGGGACTATAACTATATTCTGTTGTGATTCTGTGAAAGGAGGTTTCTGTTTTCAAATGCAGAAATGCCTCAGAACTGTTCGGATGATGGAGGAAATACAATGTCTAATTGATAATTGACACTTGAGTGAAATGTCCTTGCCACCGTACAGCGCCAGGTCACCCTTTGGACGCAGATACATTCTGCAAAATGAAGGATGCGAAGCCATCCATTCTTTTAGCTACGAAAAACAGAAAGTCAGTTGGATAGCCATTAATGTAACAGTAGTTTGGTTCTTTGACTCGGTTTCTCCTTAGTAACTCTCTGATACCTTTTCTCAAGCAGACGTTGGCCTATGGCGACATGAATCACGAGTGGATCGGCAATGAGTGGCTGCCCAGCCTGGGGCTTCCTCAGTACCGCAGCTACTTCATGGAGTGTCTTGTGGACGCTCGGATGCTTGACCATCTAACCAAGAAAGACCTGCGAGGACAGCTCAAGATGGTGGACAGTTTCCACAGGTAAATGACTGGAGGAGGTGTGACTGATGGCGCAGAAATCCATGCCCAGGGCTGCCTCTGAGGGTTTCCCTTTTCCAAATAGAAACAGCTTCCAGTGTGGAATCATGTGTCTGCGAAGACTGAATTATGATCGGAAGGAACTGGAAAGGAGAAGAGAAGAAAGTCAGAATGAAATCAAAGGTTTGCTTGGAGTCTGGGCGTCCCCCCCGCGTGTCGTCTCCTTCCCCCCCCCTCCCCCACCTCTCCAGGATGCTTGTGCTCTTGGCCTGGGCCGGCATCGGGGACAGGGTTGGGTGTGCCAGGAGTGAGAACAATGAAGTGCTTAGCACAGTGCGTGGTGCAGAGCAGCTGCTGTCTGTGTGCGTGTTCCCCACCTCCCGAGGCGGAGGTTCCAGACGAGATGATCTCTCAGCAGCATTAGTGCTAATGAGAGTGCTGGAGAACGGTGCTTTACTGGCTCCCCAGGGTGTGGGCCCTGCCGGGCTGCCCCTTGATGTCCCGTCTCTTCATGTCCTTCTCTAGAGGTGCTCGTTTGGAGCAATGATCGGGTGATTCGCTGGATTTTATCCATCGGCCTCAAAGAGTATGCAAACAACCTCGTGGAAAGCGGCGTCCACGGCGCGCTGGTGGCCTTGGATGAGACCTTTGACTTCAACGCTCTGGCCCTCCTGCTGCAGATCCCCACTCAGAACACACAGGTAAGCCTGCGACCAAACCAGTAATGTCTGACTGACCAGCACAGTCCCCACCCAGAGTCACCGCAGTGTGCACTCAGTCCGTCCATTCTCTCTTGGTGCCAGGCCCTTCCTCCTGTGGCCGCCAGGGTCATCGCACAGAGAGTTCCCATTCTTAGCAGGGTTCTTTGTGTCTTTTCCTCATCACCCCTCACAGACAATCTGTCCATAAATGCCCTTCTCCATGCAGACTCTTCAAATCCTTGAAAATGATGATCACGCTCCTTGCACAATGTCCCTTCCTCTTGTGGTCTAAAGGCCCTTCCCCATCTTGGCTGCCAGAGCCCCAGTGGCATCCTCCACACAGGCCATGGCAGAGTCCCCCTGCCTTCATTCCCCTTTCCTGGCTTGCTCTCATACCTTCCCCCTTAGCCACCATGGCCTGTGCCCTTGGCGACCAGTAGAACGATCTCATTTCTGTCTTGCCTCGGGCCTCTTGCCCACTAGGGACCTTTGGGGAGACATAAGGATGGCATGGAGTTGGTGGCAAGAAGGAAGGATTTGTTGAGTTGCTCCACAGCTGCCTGTTCAGATCTTGCCTCTGTAGGGAGATTGCCTGAGGAGTATGGTTGTGGCTTAACATGTTATGTGACATGTTTAGAGCTTTCAAAAAAAATAAAGCCACCACCCCCAATCCCTCCTGTTTTCTCAAAGACTAATGAAAACTCTGTTTGTTTGGGTTTTTTGTTTGCTTTTTCCCTTAGGCTCGTGCTGTCTTGGAAAGAGAGTTCAACAACCTTCTAGTTATGGGCACTGACAGAAGGTTTGAGGAAGTAAGTTTGAGAGATTTTCAGCAAACGTGGATTTTGAGCTCAGTGGCTGAGCTGGAAGGTCTCTAGTCAGTCTCAGGGCTGTTACTGGTGCCCAGATACTGTCTCATGGGACAGAGCCCCTCTGGATTTGCCACTCGGCACATGTTCCCTGTTTTTGTAAATTTTGTAATTAAAACAGACATTAGAATACTGTGACCTTTTCACCTGAGCAGGGTTTTTCCTGTTTGAATTCTGACATTTTTCTCTTAGGCCTGAGATTTGGGAAAACTTTGCTTATTTCCCATGAATTGAAAGCATGTGCTGTTCATTCTTACTCTGCCACATACTTCCCCATCTCCCCAGAGTGCTGCCCTGGTCAGAAAGCCAGTCAGAACAGTCCCCACACAGTCCTAGCTAACCAAGGGATGGAAAGGGCCAGGCCAAGAAGGCGGGGACTTTCAAAGAGAGATTATTAACATTTGGATTGTTTTCAGTCCTGAGAAATGAAGGTCGGGACAGGATGTGACCACAGGTTATAAAATGTTGAGAGACTTGATGGAATGTTGTTTCCTGTGTCTCCCTCATTCCTCCTCTGGAAATGAAGGTGTTAGACCTTCCTGGGCCAGTGTCTTCGATGTCCTCCTGGAATTCCAGACAAGCCGAACCCAGAGGTCATGGGAGGAGTGTGAGATTGAGTGCAGGGCTAGCCTGCCACCTCACAGGTCCTTAGGGCTCCCTCTGGTGGCCATCCAGGATGAGTCCCTAAGGAAAGCTGGGGGTTTGTGTGCTCAGACCAAGATCTGTGCTGGGTTGCCGGGATGGACTGGGGGCCTGTTGTCCATGAAAAAGTTCCTGCAGCCTCAAGAATTCCTTGTGCTTGGACAGGCCTCAGAGGGTACCAGTGATCAAATGTGGCATTTGTAGAGCCTGACCTACATGTAGGTAAAGTGAATGGAAAGGGTTGGCTCAGCTTGCTCCAGGATTTTTACTGTGTTCCTGAATTTTCCAGGATGATGATAAAAGCTTTCGCAGAGCCCCTTCGTGGAGAAAAAAATTTAGGCCCAAGGACATTCGAGGATTAGCTGCTGGCTCGGCAGAGACCCTCCCTGCAAATTTTAGGGTCACCTCGTCTATGTCTTCACCCTCTATGCAGCCAAAGAAAATGCAGATGGATGGTAGGTGGTCAGAGTTTTCATTTCTTAAAGCATCTCAGATTTTTTTGTGTTGGAATGCAAGTTATTTCATATCTAAATTTGCCTGTTTAATAAGTTTTAAAGCATTTATGTCCTGTTGCACGTGCTGACTTGAAATGTTTCCCTTGACCATCAAGAATTTCCTCTAGAGTACTTGTAGTCTCTGCCTTCTGTACGTGCCGGCATCCTCAGGGCCAGGAAGTCCCGCCAGACTTTCCCTGGCATCCTGAGCCCACCACATCTCATTGTTCCCTCAACACTGTCTTGTACCTCCATCTTCTGAGAGGAACTCTGGCCCCCCTCGGGGCTTGTGTGTTTATGGGACAGTGGCTTCAGTACTTGAGGCATTTCTGATTTCCTTGGTGTGCATCTTACCTAACCAATACAGATCTCAGCTCCTCTTCACCTTTTGTCTCTACTGCTGTGGACAAAAGGTCTCTCTCCTGGTTGCAGGAGCCCAGCAGACCCTCACATAGCTTTGGGGAAGGAGTCCAGGCTTACCCCCAGAAGGGCCTTTCTGGCATGCCATTGCCCTCAGAGTCTTCAGGTTGCCTCTTCTTTGTCAGTCACTCCTTGGTAGGTGCCCTGCCTTTCAGGATTAGCCACACCCTGAGCTTTCCTGTTTACATACTTTTATCTACTTTAGAAGGGAGGAGGACATTTACCTTTGTCTCCTCCATCTTTCATTCATTGAAGAAAACAACAGCTCCAATTCACCTGCTCCTTTCTTGGGTACTTTTAGGGTCAGAAGATGACCCTGGGCCAGGCCTTTTGTTTTAGTTACAAGTCTTTACTTAGTAGTTTCACTAAAGCCTAAGGATCCAGATAGATTCAGACCAGCTTTCAAGTGAAAGGAAACCTCACACACTCAAATGGAAGCACATTTGACCAGGAACAGCCTTTGAACCCCAATTCCTGCCACCTCTGGGTGTCCTGGAGCATTTTTCAGGACAGCTGTGTATTCTGGGAAAGGGAGTAGCTTTCTGGGTGCGGCTCCTGGACACTCTGTCCTAGGGGTGCAGTCCTTGGAATGGCCTTAGAACCGTGGATGTTCTTCTCAGGGTGTCACAGATTCAGAATCTAGGACTTTTTCAAAACCAGGTTGGATCTTCTCTGACGTTCTCAAGGTTTTAATGTACCCAGGAGGAAATCAATCGAAAAGCATCAGCACAGGCCGTGCTCGGGCCTGTCTCCGTGCTTGCTTCTGAACCTTCCGCTGCCATGGCTGGTGGGGCCGGGCCGGACCTCTTCTCTTGCACAGCGGCCCCCTGGCCCTCTCTCTTCACTCTCTGCCAGGGACGGATTCTCGGAGACATCACTTGCTCTGCAGTCTTCTCTCTGTCAGGGTCACCACTGCCATCATGCCCCTTATTATTAACAACAGCTGTTCCTGGTTGGCTTGTGGCTTCCAGTGCAGGGGCAGTCATCAAGATGAGAGGAGGGGTGGGGCCCAAGCTCCAGGTGGATACGGATTTACGGGGTCACACCGTTTTCAGGTGTTGGTGACTAGCTTGTGCCTTTTCAGAGCTGCTGTGTTGTGAGCACATTGAGCAGTACGTTGTTCATGCCAAATTGTGCATTTCAGAGCAATGTTGATGACCCATAGAGTGAGAACAAGAGAAACACACTGACTTACAGTGTTCCAACCAATTTATAGCATCAGCAGCGGTTTTTGTTTTTGAGGCCTCCGGCATCTTTCTTCACTGAGATGTTGGTCTTTCTACGTAACCAGTCGTCTGCCTCCCCCGGGGTGCTGACTTGCCTTCTTTGGGCTGTGTTCCTCTCTGTTCATCTGACACTCAGCCCCACTGACAGTCGGTTCAGATGGCAGATGGAGAGATGGAAAGGGATTTCCTCTAACGCTGTCTGCGGTTGCTTCCTGGTGGTGGGGACCCCACAGAGACCCTGGGAGTCGGTGTCTGGTGACCAGCTGTTGTTCGCTTCCAGCACATTCATTCCCACACCCCCCAAAGAGAGCCCCCTCACACTCACCTCTGGGGAAGGGCGCTGCTGCTATCCCAGAACGTTTTGTAACTGTCCTCACTCAGGTGGTTTTAAAAACTAACTGCATGCTGTGTTCTGCACGCTTTCCTTCTGCGCTCTTGAAACAGGCAGTGTATCAGGAAGCCAGAGGTTGGATTCTGCGACCGTAAGGACTTATTCCTGTTAAAGCCTTCTGTTGGTGAGTAGAGAGAGCGTGGCGCCCACAACGTGCCCAGCGGATGCCAGCCCTTAGGTGCTTGGTTTCACGTGGCTGACGACGGTCCTTGTTGGCTTGGGGCAGCCAGCTGCCTACACACAACGTTAGCGCTCCATTGGTTCTGTGGAATCACAGCCTTTTGTGCTTCTGAGGAGTGGAAGGGGTGCCCAACAGACCACAGTTCTCCAAGTCAGTCAACGGATTTAATTTTTTAACATTTTACATCATATTGTACTTTAGAGGTACTGGGGTCACTCTTCCCTTCCAGCTGCACAGGGGTCAGGGACTAGAGGAATTGGAGAATTCTATCCCGTATTTTCAAAGATCTGGCCAAGTGAGCATCCCCCGTGTTACCGCCTGCAGCTGCCTTGTCTTGTCCCTTTCCAGTGTCCGATCAGGAAAGCTGATGCTTCCTCTGGCAGGGAAAGTGGCTGTTATTAATGGTTTACACCCCCAGCTTTTCCCCAAGACTTGGACAGGCCAATTCATTTGGAGTTAGCTACTGATCCAGCATGTTTCTTCCTAGGAACAGAGCCTTAATTAGGTTCCCAGGTGACAAAGGCAAATGCTAAGTGGGCCATACTCAGTTATGTTCATTTGAAATCTAAGCTGCACCGATGCTCCAAGACTCCTCCCTGGTGTGATTTGTAGGTTTGCATTCTTTCTGGCAGATATTACTGAAAAGATTGTAGCAGCCACAGCCCTGGATTCAGGGTCAGGCGATGTGGCAGTCCCCAGTTGGAGCATCCCACGATCGCGGTTACGGAGGAGAAGGGCCATTCAAGCAAGGGTTTACTTGCACTGGACACAGAGCTGTGGGTTGTTGGCCTGTGGCCGCGTTGCAGTGGTTTGGGCCCAGGGCCTCGGGAGGGGTAAGAGCTCTTCGTCACAGGGCCGAAGATGCTCGAGTCTTGGGTCTCCTTTCACGGGCAGACTTGCTTTTTAAAAGTTCCCGAGTGAGGCTGGTTCTGTTCTGTACCGTCTACGTGCTGACTTAGGGATACACTTCAGTCATTTTGTTTAGGGACAGCCTTCTTGTAAGTAAAAAACGTGGGTTTTGCTCAGGTAATTCCTAAAGAAAGTTGCGTGGGCTGGGATTTGGACTTTTCATTGGCTTCTTTGCTGGCTTCTGGCTGGCAGCCACTCATTGGCATGTTTTTTTTTTTCCTCCTAGTTTACCCACACTACTTCTACAGATGATTATGCATCGTTCTGAACTCAGCCAAGACCACATTTTAGAATTGAGTGGATCTTTAATCTGTTAATACTTGTTATATGGACAATGAGATATTTTATTACAGAGTTTTTAATTAGTAAAAAAATTCATGAATACCATAGAGAAAATATTTTAGAATTAAATGTTTCTTATATTTATGTAAACTTATGTGACTTCATTTATACAGTTACTTAATTTTTCATGTGTATCCAGATTATAAATATCTTTTCCAGTCCATGAGGTTCTTATGCTTAATTTGTTAGTCAACTGAATGTACTGTAATACTTGTAAGTATAAATCCTATGAGCAAATAGGGCTTTTTGTAAATTGTGCAGTTATTGTAATGATCATTGTTTAATTTTTTTAAATAAACCTGACAGAAATGAGGATTTTACTACATTTGTAAAAAGCGCCCTCTTACCAAGGAGTAGGCAGGCATCATCAATACATTTTTAACGAATGCTTCAAAAAGCAAGCCGCCGCAGTCGTTTTGAAACAATCAGACTTTTCATTGCAAGCAGTTATGGTGTGATTTAATTACTGATCACAATTACTGATCTTTTTCTGAAAAGAAATTTTTCATTCTGTAGCATGGACTGATTTTACATTTTGTATTTTAAATATCTTCTCTACTAAAATTGGAACTGAGAAACGTTAGAACGCTATGGAGTCGTTCTAGAAAAACCTGGCTCAGCATGCCCTGGGGCGCTGAGTCTCCCCTCCTTGGATAACTTGTCTTCATTGACTGCTATAAAGCCATGAACAGAGAAGACTTCTCTGAGCCCGGAAGGATGGACCTGGGGAGGGGGCCAGGTCCTGCTCTCCCCTGCCCCCAGCCCGCAAAGAAGTGCTTTCCTCCCAACGCCGTTGGTTGAGAGGCTCCGATGCAATTTCTTCGAGGACCAATCACAGCGCGCTGCAGTCTCGAGGCCCGCCCCTGCCGAGGGATGCCGCGCCACCTTCAATCCAGGCCTTACTGTGCTCGCCAGGCGGCTTTCGGCGTTTGTTGGCCAACTTGTTTAGCTTCTGCGCCCGGACACGTTTTTGAGAGTTTAATGGTATAGCCATCACATTTCAGACTGTAGAGAATGTACCTTTTACTTTTAAAAATGGCACATTAAAAAGCCAACGAGAACCTGGTGTAGATCATGGTGCATTATTTATTATGCAACTATATATATATGTATGTGTGTGTGTATATATATATATAGATAGATAGATCCAGATATAAATATATACATATGTGCATATATATATAGCATGTCTTTTTCCTATTCGTTTCTGCTTTTAATGTACTTGTATAACTCATCGTTACTGTTGTTTTTCTATTAATCTTTTGTGAACTTTCTGATTATGTAACAAAGTATGTACAGCCTGCTTTTGACTATTTTTATCACAGTATTATTTATTGCTTTCTTTCAATAAAGTACTGAAGCCTTTACCACTGCCAATAAAACATCCACAGAACAAGCCGTGCTTACGCTGACCGCTGCCTGCCAGCACGAGAATGGGACAAGCGCTGGGTCAGGGTCCCTGTGTGCACAGGCTGGGGCCGGCATGAGGCCTCAGGCTTCTGCCGGGGTGGGCACTTCCAAGTTAGGACCTCCTGCAGCCATCATGGGGCAGGGCCGAGGGTGAAGGCAACATTCCTGGGGGCCCTGCTCTTCCCACTCTGCCGTAGCACACGGCCTTTCATCTCCCACAGTGTGGGGGATTCTAAATGAAGGCAGAGCAGTCACCCAGCGGATGGCTTCAGCGTGAGGCTCAGAGGAGTGGAATTTGGCACTCCGTGTTTCTCGCGTCTCTATTTTTCTTGTTCCAGTGACTTGCGTATCCTTAGCTGACGTTTTCACAGTTGATCAAAAACTGGTCAGGACTGCAAGGGTCCCGCACCTAGGTCTCATAAACATGTCCTGCACGCTATTTCATTAACAATCTGGACTTAGTGGAGGCAGCTCGATGGCTCAGTGGGTGGAACACCAGGCCTGGAGGCAGGAAGACCCGAATTCCACGCCAGCCTCACACTCATGAGCTGTGTCACACACAGCCTGAGCAAGGCGGCCTCTGCCTGCCTTAGTGTTCTCATCTGTAAAGTGGGGATGGTAATAGCGCCTCCTTCCTAGGGTGGTTGTGAGGACCAAATGAAATAGTGATTGTAGCACCCTTACACAGGGCCTACATAGCACACAGTAGGCACTCTGTAAATGCCAGCTGTTGTTGTTATAAGTGAGGCTAAATGCTGCCACAGGCCAATGCTGTTTCTTCCAATTCACTGCAGCTTGAAGGTTTTTTTCTTATTAAAAAAGCAGCTGGGGATAGCCTAGCACAAGACAGGAGGAGATAATTTGGCATTGATCAGTATGATAGCATGTGTACAGGGAAGAAACGCTGCAGGCCTTTTCCCTTTCAAAGTTTTCCTCGGGAGTCCAAGCTCCAAATGGCTTTCTTATTACCTGTCTCCTACCCTTATTTTTTTTAAACACTTCATACAAATTACCCAATTCTTCTCTGCTTTTAATCAGTTGAGGCTGTTGAGGTGGCCAAATGGCTTTTAAGTAATTTCTTGGGTTTTGTTTTTCCCTTGTGCCTCCAAGGTACTCGAGGCACTTCCATTTTTTACTTCCTTTTATTGACCTGAGGAAAAATGTCACACACCAGGATAGTTCTCACTCAATTTGTGTGGAAAGGGGAGGAGATTCTGTTTGGCTCTTCTGTGCTCTTTCCCTCCACATGTGCTACCTAAATTGCCCTTCCATTCTGTGTGAAGTTGGCATCGTGGACCACCATCAGAAGATCATTCGCTGAGCAAGAGCCTGGCCTCCGTTAGGCCTCCATCACTTCCTTCCTTGACCCTAGGCAAGCCCCCTTCTCTGTAAAGTGAGTGCCCACCACATGCAGTCATCAGGACCCTCTGATGAGATGGTCTAGGGGATGTACCTCATTGCTCTTCACACTCGGCCTGTGTGCCCACCCTAGAACTTAGACTTTGAATGGCCATTTCCTAGCTGTGTGTGACCTTGGAAAAGTCAGCTGGCAAGTAAAATACAAATAGTCTTTGCCTGCAGAAATTGCTTTTGTCCTGTGCTTGGTTTCATCTTTAGAGTTTCAAAGCCTGTTTCAGTTGGTGAATTCATTTCTCTCCGGTAGAGTAGCTTTTATCCTGGAGCTTTTCTAAAAGATCCTAGCATCTGGGAGAGACTGCAGAGTCCATGCATTGCAGCCCCCTCAGATGAAGAAACTGAATCCTAGGACCAGGTTAGGTGGTCACATTGGGCCTCTGTCTCCATGTGCCACACCTCTCCCTCTGCCCCCAGTTTTGGGGGATCATAGGGTGAGATTTTATGCAATGACTTTTCTGCCAGGATACTTCTCACTTGACACAAGATTTCCTGGTCAAAGTTAAAAGTTGAGTTTATTGCAGGATGGCACCCTTCTCCCCCAGTAGCTGGAGTCCGTGGGACGGGATGAACACTTAGTGATTGCACAGTCTTCTGTTTCTCTGCCTTATTAATAGTAAGGACACCGTACCAATAAGGAGCCCCATGCTGGTTGGCCCTATTAGGAGGAAGTCACCAGCTGTGCTCATTCATTTGAGCCAATGGAGGCTTCCATAATTCATTCATTTACTAGCCGTGTGACCTTAAGCAGATTAGTTAGCCTGTTTGCTCATCTGTGAAATGGGAATGATGCTTGGCACTAGCTGTCTGGTTGTGAGGATCAAATGAGCTCATTTATGTGAAAGTGTCTTGTGGGATTGTATAGTGCTATTAAATTATAATGACTTCCTAGGATGTGTCATTTAACAGCTCCAGGCCCTCCACAGTACCAGATATGCAACCTGTATGAAAGACCTAGTGCCCATTGGCAACTAGGTGGCACAGAAGATAGAGTACCAGGCTTGAGTTCAAATCTGGCCGCAGACACTTAACTAGCTGTGTGGCCCTGAGCAAGTCACTTAACCCTATTTGTCTCAGTTTCCTCATCTGTAAAGTGGAGAAGGAAATGTCGGACTTCCAGTATCTTTGCCAAGAAAACCCCAGATGGGGTTACCAAGAGTTGGACATGACCAAACATTGAATGACAGCACTACAGACTGCCCTATCCCTAATCCCTGGCTCCTGCAGCCCTGCCTCGGGGACTTAGAATAACAGACTTATTTGGGTTGGCTTTTTTTTTTAACTGTAAGAACCAGTAACTCCCTTTATTTCCCCCACTTTATCATTTTAAGAAAATATTTTCCCCAATTATGTGTGAGAACAATTTTTAACTTTTTTTTTTAATTTTGAGTTCCAGGGTCTTCCATCCTTCCCTTCTTCCCTCTCTGAGATGGTAAGCAGTTTGGTATAGGTTATACTTGTGTGATCAAAAAGAACATTTCCATATTAGTCATGTTGTGAAGGAAAATAGACAAAAAGAAAGTTAAAAAAAAGGGTGCTTCATTCTGCGTTAGAATTGCATGGAGGTGGATAGCGTTTTTCATCATGAGTCCTTTGGAATTGTCCTGGATCGTTGTATTGCCTGAGAAGACCTAAGTCATTCCCAGTTGATCATTGTTACAATGTTGCTGTTACTGTGTACAGTGTTCTGGTTCTGCTCACTTCACTTTGCATCAGCTCATGTAAGTCTTTCCAGGTTTTTCTGAAATCATCTTGCTCATCATTTCTTATAGCACAATAGTATTCTATCACAGTCCTTTACCACAACTTGTTCAGCCATTCCCCAACTGATGGGCATTCCCTCGATTTCCAATTCTTGGCCACCACAAAAAAAGAGCTGCTGTCAATATGTGTGTACATGTGGGCCCCTTTTCCCATTGGTTTTTTCTCTTTGGGGTGCAGACCTAGTATAGTAACCCCCATTTAGATTCAGCCCTTTAAGGGGTTTGAAGTTCTTTGCTCAGAGCAACCTTTTGGGCTATCCTTCCTGGTGTGCAGGCATGGCGGCAAATATTCGGATGTTTGGAGGTAGCTAGTCTCTCCCCCATGGCTTTTCTCTTTTCCAGCCAAAAAAAAATGCCCCCTCCACCTCCCCAACTCCCTTGGTGCTGCACTCTTGTTTGTTTCAGCCTTGACAATTTGGAGCAGTGTGGTGTAATGCAAAGGGCGTTTGATTCAGCCGAGATGTGGGTTGGAAACAAGCCTGGCTGTGTTTGTGCATAGGAGAAATTTTTCCAACAGATGTTTGCTGAGCCTGAGTTGGTTTTCAGTTTTGTAATCTGTGGGATAATGGAAAATAGCATGGCCCTTCTGGTGATTGTTGAGGGTCCCAGAGAATAAAGGTCGAAAGCCCTTTCAGGGAAATCTGTGTGACCCCCACCTATGCATTGTGTTGGTCTAAGAACATTTTAGGAAGCGCTACAGAAAATCAGAGCTAGGCCTTTCTGCTGCTGCCATGCTGTTCAGTCTTGTCCTACTCTTTGTGACCCCAGTTGGGGTTTTCTTGGTAGAGATGCTGGAGGGGTTTGCCATTTCTTCAGCTTATTTTACAGATGAGGAAACTGAGGCAAACAAGGTGACTTGCCCAGGGTCACAGCTAGGAAGTGTTCTGAGGCCTGATTTGAACTCGGTAAGATGTCTTCCTGACTACAGGCCAGGCACTCTATCCATTTCCACATCTAGCTGCCCATACTTGGACTAGTTCAAAGCCTGAGAGGGAAGAGTGCTCTGTGGAGTCTACAAAGCCTTTCATGAACTTGGATGGATCATTTCGCTTCTCTGGGCCTCAGTTTCTTCCTCTGTAATATTGGCGGAGGGGTGATGAGGTCCTTCCCACCTTTTCATTTTCTCTCTTGAACTATTCAGGTGATAGTTGGTTTGACTGCTACCAGATTTGGGTGTATAAGGAGGCTTTCAGGAGGGCCAGAAGAATGAGGTCCTTCCAGCTCTGGCTCCTGCCCCCGGAGAGGGGAAGGAAGTGGCCCAAGGTGAGTCAGAGGCAGCGCCAACCTTAAGGGATACAAAGTGTCTGCTGGGAGAGGGCCCGGCTTCTGAAGGAAGATAGAATGTTAACTCGAACGCCTTGGGGGCCCGAGGGCCCAGGCGTGGGGTGGAACGAGAAGGGAAGGAAGGAAGGAAGGAAAGGAAAGGATGAATGAATGAATGAATGAACTGAAAGGAGGGCTGGGCGCTAAGCTGGGCGGGATGAGCAGGAGAGATCCAAGACCCGAGGGAGGCATAGGGCACAGGCCGCAGGGAGGGCATGCCGTGCCGGCTCGGGTCGAGCCGGGCCGGGAGGACTCGCTTCGCTCCGCAGGTGGCTCCTATGGGCTCTGCATCCCGGGCCCATCCCGGTGCTGACGACACAGGAAGTGTCGCGAGCGGAAACCGCGGCTGGACCGGAGCGGCGGGGAGGGGAGAGGAGGGCAGGGCATCGGCGGTCGCTGGCGAGCGCGGACGCACGGACCGAGGTGAGCGCGCGGAGGCGGGAGACTGAGGTTGCCCAGTGTCCCTGCGGGCCGCGTGCGGCGCCGCACGGAGCGCGGGGCTGCAGGGGGAAGGCCAGGGCGGGCTCCTCCGCCGGGCCCGGCTGGAGTTTCGGGAGGAAGTGGCAGCTTCTGGGGTGCTGCGGTTTGTCGTCTGCGGGTTTTTGGTGGAGGCGGAGGCGGAGGTGGTGGAGGGAGCAGGGGACGCTACTGAGCGTGAATGTGGATGTAGACGGGGTCGGAAGGAGCCGCCTCCGCCAGCCGGTCCGAGCTGAGCCTCCTCCGCGGTCTGGGGTGGAGGTGGGGGTTGTGGCCAGTGAAGTGGGTGCCCTTCTGCTTCCCCCCACCCCCCTCCGCCCCGGGGTAGAGTAGGGGATGAGAGGAGGGAGAGCAGGTAGGAGCTGGGTGTGATGCATGTGTGTGCGAGTCCATCTCCGTATGACCCAGGCCTCGTGTGCGGGCCGGGCCGGACCGCCCCTGCTCGGACCGTGCTGATAAATGGGTGTGGCGCCTTCCCTAATCCACGGGCCGCTGCCTCCCCATCTTTTGTGGTGTGTCTGGCCTTTTGGTCTCTGAGAGATGCTGCGACCCCTCCCCCTCCAGCCCGAGGGCTTCTGTCTGCAGGATTCCCCCTGCTGGGGGAGGGGTGGCTAGGCAGGTTGGGCCGCGGTGGCTTTGTGGCCCGCGCCAGTGCACTAGGAGCTTAGAATTCTTTTAGGGAAAAGTTCTTCTGGGAAGGTAGGTGGGCTTGGACTTCTGGAAGTTTATCCTCTGGATGGGCTGGGAACTCCTAGGACCAGGGCCAAAGGATGGCACCGCAAGAAAATGGCTCTTTTAGGGGAAGGGGGTTGGTCTTCCAGGGACTATCTGCCTAGCTGCTTGATCGTGGCCCAGGCCAGCAGGGACAGAGGAAAACACTGGGGTTACCTTCGCACTCTTCGGGGACCTCTTCTCAAAGAGCGAAGCCTCTGCGAATGGGATGTGAACTGAAACACAGGCATTTAGGGTTTAAGCCTTTTCGCTCCCTCCCAGTCTCTCCATGAGTCAGTACCTCGTGTGCTACGAGCACATCCCATTTCTCTCCCAGCTGGTTAAATGTTTGCTGGAGAATCCAAGTATTCCTAGGAGGGGCGACTTCATCCCCCAGCAGAAGTCAGGGAGACCCTAACCCTAATTGCGCTCTGTGGTGTGTAGGAAGGGCAGTGTAGGTATTTCCGAGGTTCTCAGGGCCTGGACTTGGGTGGAATCTCCTTGGGAATGCTTAGGCTCTTTACAAATACTTCCTGCTTCTGAGGGAGGGGGAGGGTGTGGATATGCCGAGTTTTACTAAGCCATGGATTTAAAAGATTTTCTAAGACCAGGGATTTCCCCCCTCTTCCCACTTTAGGGAATGGTTTTGATTGCTGGTAGGATGATAATGGACCTTGGAATTCCTGTTATCTGAGAATTGATTGAAGGGAAAAGAGGAGATTCCCGGGGACTTGGTGTTTGTCTGCAAGTATCTGAAAGGCTGTTTTCTATTAAAAAAAGAAGAAGAAGAAGAAGAGGAGGAAAGAAAACGAAAAGAAAGGATTAAGACTTCTCTTTGGCCCCAGAGTGCCCAAGTTAAGTTTGGAATTGAGAAGGAATAAATGCAGGCCTCAGAGAGAGCTAACCGCGGCTCTTTTCTCTCTGCGTCTGCCTTACAGCTAGTGCTTCCCCACTGAAATTACTCGGATAGGCGGCTGGATAGGTAGGAAGGCAGACAGATACAGAGATAGACTGGTAAGTAGAGGGAGAGGCAGGTAGATGATAGATGTATGCACACAGTCAGATGTAGACATTCTGTAAGTACATAGCTGTTTGTCTCCTCTTCGCTCCTGGGACATTAAGATGAGCTAAGGCTGGGCCTGTTTTTTGCCTGTCTTTGTATTTCTGGTTTAGCACTGTTTGGCACACAGTAAGCACTTAATAAATGCCTGCTGCCTGGCTGAGTTCCTTTGGGAAAGAGTGGACTCTCCCTCTCTGGAGGGAGCCAGGCAGAGGCTGTTTGCTTGTTGGAGACATTGTAGATGACTGAACCAGCTGACCCCTGATGCTCCTTCCAACTCTGCTGTTCTGTGATATGCCAGAAGGCTGGTATATTTGATTTGACTCCACAAAGTGGTTTTCCTTCCCTTCAGGTCTGACCATTTCCATCCCCTTCTCGCTCTCCATTGGCTCCCAAAATAAACTGTGCTGCTTGTCCTTTTCAGTGCTTGGAGCCCTGGCTCCAATGGGCTTTTCCAGCCTTGTTACCCCTCACTCGTTCCTGTGCTCTTTACCACAGAACTTTCCATGTGCTCTCTTCTCACCCCAGCCACCACCTGGCCTTTCACCTGGATTGTTGCAGCAGCCGCCTCCCTAGTCTCCCTGCGTCGTCTCCTCTCTTCAGTCCTTGCACTCAGGAACTTCCTGAATCCTCATGTCACACACTCCTATTCAATCAAGTCAAATCAACAAGCATTTCTTCAGTGCCTACTGTGTGCCTGGCACTGTGCTACACTGGGAATACAGAGAAAGGCAAAAACAGTCCTTGTCCTTACAGTGAACTCCAGAGGTGCCTTGTTTCTAGAATCCAGGTGTGGGGAACCTGCAGCCTCGAGGCCACATGTGGCCCTCCAGGTCCTCAAGTGTGGCCCTTTGACTGAATCCCAACTTCACAGAACAAATTCCCTTCATAAAAGGATCTGTTCGGTAAAACTTGGACTTGGCTGCGCCCAAGGACCTAGAAAGCCACAGGTTCCCCCCGCCCAGTTCTAGATTCTAATACTGATTCAGCTGGTTGGCATTTAAAGCCCTTCACAGCCTGGCGCTTTCCTGCCTTTCATCTTCTTATGTTCTGCTCCCTTCTCTGGATTATGCACTGGCCAGCTCCACTGGCCTCTTGGCTGTTGTCCATACGTGACCCTCCATTTCCAATCTCCAAGCTTTTCCATTGGCTGTTCCCCATGTCTGGAATGCCTTCCATCCTCTCTACCTCTCAGAAGCCCTGGCCTCCTTCAAGACTCATTTCGAATCCTGCCTACCACAGGCCTTTCCCTCTCAGGACTGCCTTCAGTCTGCTTTGATTTATCGCATTATTTTTATATCTTCTCTCCGATTAGAATGTGAACTTCTTGAGGGCAGGGGCAGGGTTTTTGCCTTTCTCTCTCCAGGTATTTTCATAGTCCCTGGCACACAGTAGATGCTTAAGAAATGCTTGTTTTCTGACTGTCTGGGCCGCCGAGCCTTTGTGCTGCCTTTCCCACAGCACCGTGCTCTCTCTTCTTCCTGAAATGCCCTCCTCTTAGAATTCTTTCTTTCCTCCAAGACTCCACTGAAGCCTTCCCTTCTACATGAGGCCTTGCCTCCCTCCCTCCCCAGCTGTCACCTAGCACCCTACCTCCCCACATTACCTTATAGCCATTTGCTGTATGGTCTGTATGTATTGAGTAGCGAGTGCCTCCTTCCCCCATAGAGTGTAAGCTCTTTGAAGGCAGGGATTGTTGTATTTTTATCTTTGTATACCTAATACCCAGCATAGTACCTAGGATGTATTAAGCACTTAATAGAAACTTGTGGATTGGTTGAATAAGAATTAAATGCCTACTGTATGCATGGCATGGTGCTTAGCACTGAGGAAAGCCCCTGCCCAGACACTCTGAGGTAGCTGAACCATTGTCTCTGGTGAGGGTGCTTCGATGTAGGGTGTCTGGGGGGCTCAGCAGGAGGAAGGCCTTCCAGGAAAGGCATCATGGAGGAATACAGGGAGGAGGAAGAAGGGATTCTGACCATCGGAGGTGCAGAGCACAGGAAGAGGGCTGGGTCACATGTGACAGTGTCCTGAGACAGGCCAGCTAGGTGGCATATTGGAAAGTGTGTTGTCCTTGGAGTCAGGAAGAGCTGAGTTCAAATCCTGCCTCAGATACTAGCTGTGTCCCTCCTTGATTTCTGTTTGCCTGAGTTTCCTCATCTGTAAAATGAGGAGAATGATAGCACCTACTCCGGGATTATTGTGAGGATCAGAAGAAGCAATGTTTTAAAAGGATGCCAGGAGATGGAAAGGGCCCAGAGAAGCCTGGGAGTAGCCTTGGCCTCCCGAGAGCCCTGAGTCCAGTCGTCCAGGAAATGAGCCTGGAGAGTTTGTGTGAGCCCCAGGAATGAGATGATTACATGACACACGTTGGTGAGGCTTGCAGGCAAGGCCTGTGGGGATGGCTCAGTGCCTGCTCGGTTTGGGGCTTCCTCAGTTTCTCCCCACCACATCTGTCGTCTGCACAGCTGCCCAAGCACCTTTCGGTTTGCTCTTAATTTTTGAGTAAGGTCTCTGTCACTCTCTGGCCTACTCCATTTCCAGACTGGGCTAGGTCAGCCCTCCTTAGGCAGCTGGTGTCTTCTCCCACCTTCTTGGAGGCTCACTGTATTGGTGCCCAAATTAGTGAAGATTCTCTGTAGCCCAGAACTGCCGTGCCTTAGTCTTTTCAAGGAGCAGGGACGTTGTACAGCATGCACTGCCGTGCCTGGTCAAGAGATTTTCCTCGAGTCTGACCATGTTATTTTGGTTGGTTTTCTTTTTCTTTTCTTTTTTTTTTGGAGAGGCAATTGGAGTTAAGTGAATTGCCCAGGGTCACATAGCTAGTGAGTGTCATGTGTCTGAGAGGCTGGATTTGAACTCAGGTCTTCTTGTCTCCAGGGCCAGTGCTGTATCCACTGAGCCATCTAGCTGCCCCACTTTGATTGTTTATCAGTTGAGATTTCTTCATGATTCCATTTGGGGTTTGGTTTGCCATTTCCTTCTCCAGTCCGTTTTACAGATGGGGAAACTGAGGCAAACAGGGTGAAGTGTCTTGCCCAGGGTCACACAGCTAGGACGTGTCTGAGGCCGGGTGTGAAAGCAGAAAGATAAGTCTTCCTGACTCCAGGCCCGGTGCTCTGTGGTGCCCCCTACTACATTTGGTAGTTCCCAATTTCCTTTAGATTTAAGTTTGGCAGGAGAAGGCCTTTCTAATCTGGCCTGGCCTGGCCTTCCTTCACAGGCAGATTCCACCTTGGTTCGTCCACCCACTCACAGTCCAGTTAAACTGGCTTTCTGTTCCTTACATGAGAGCCAGTTCCGCCTCTGTATGTTTGTAATGGCCGTGCCCCATGCCTGGAAAGCCCACCCTCCCCTCTATCCCCAGAATCCGGCTCAAACATCCCGTCCTATGTGAAGTCTTTTCTGATCCCTGACCGCTGGGACCCTTCTCTCTAACCACTTTGTACCTATTTTAGATTTCTCCTCTACCTGCTTGTGTTTTGGCATGTTGTTTCCCAAATATAATCATAATTAGTAACAGTAATAACTGGCATTTCTATAGTGCCTTACAAATATGCATCTTAGTTTTCCTCCCAGTAACCATGGAGGTAGGTACTTTGATCTCTACTTATCATCCTCAGTAGGTTAAAGGACACCCAGCATCAGACAGCTAGGAGGCTTCTGAAGCAGGATTCGCCCTCAGGGTTTCCTGACTGAGGTCTAGGGCTTTATAAAGCTACAGTACAACCTCCCTGCCTCAAGCTAAATGCCAGAGTTGGGCCTTATGCGGGTGTTAGAAAGACAATAGGGGTTTCTCATGGGTGTCATGTCTGGGGAGTGAGTAGCTGCTTGAGCCTGGGCCTGGGCATGGTTATAGGGGGCACTGGGGCAACCACCAGTGAGGCCACCACTAGTGGGACCTCTGGGGTGTTGGGACATGGTTTACTCAGATCTGAGCCGGCCTTTCGATGAAGTATCATATTCTTGTGGAAAGAGAGAATCTGAAGTAGGTGATAATGCCAGCCGACGAAGCCAGAAGCAGTTGGATGGTCGCACCCAAAGAGTAGGGGGTCATGCTTCTGTGTTACAGTGGAGGGCCCCAGAACTCCGTGCTTGGCCCTGGCGTCACGTTTTTATCAATGACTCGGATAAAGTCAGAGTTGCCCTACTCATCCTGTTTGCAGGAGGCACCCAGCTCGAAGGGAAAACTGCCTCGGGGGGTGACAGTCAGGATCCAGAGTCAGTCACTGAACATGGATTTAGGGCCAAATGCTGTGCTGAGGACCGGGGTACAAAGAAGAAGCCCAAGCAGCGCTTTCTCTCTGGAAGCTTATGTTCAAATATATTCTGACAGGTCTGATCACGGGGTTCAATCTCACTGGATGAAGTTCATAAGGATAAGGGGAATTGTGTGCCAGGCACCGTGCTAAGTACTTCACAGATATTACACAGGGGTACAGTGGGTAACACATGAATAGACAGTTTTGAAAAGAAGATCTGGGGGTTTGAGTGAAGTGCAAGCTCGAAGAGAGCAGTGGGATGTGGCCATGTCAGGCAGCTTTGAGAAGGTGCGGTTTACGGACCTAGCGAAGTGACAGCCTCACTGTCCTCCACTCCCCTTAGACCTCCTCTGGGATACTCTGTTTTGTTTTGTGTGCTAGAGTGAGCTGGAGATTGTCCAGAGGAGGGCGTCCAGGGTGCTGAAGAGCCCTTGGGTTTATATTGCAGGAAGGTTATCTGAAAGAACGGGGAAGGCAGCTTCGAAAAGAAGATTCTGGATGGACCTAAGAGCCATCTTAGGAAAAGGGCTGTCTGTCATGTGGAGGCAGGGCCAGCTTGTTTTCTCTTTGGTCTCAGAGGGCAGCCCCTGGAGGAGTGGGGGCAGGGGGAAGGTACACAGAGGCGAATTGAGGTTGGAGGCCACCCAGATTTCCCTTCTTGGACAATGGCCTGCCTCTGCTGCTGGCTGTTCCTCTCTCCTAGGAGGTCTCCAAGGAGAGGCTGAATGGGGATTCCTTTTGTGGCTGTCTTGTTCTGAGGTGCCGTCTAACTCTGGTTCTGTGAGGCTTCCCTGGGGATGTGGAGTCAGACTATTCCACAGTTCCTGCCAGGAATACATAGGAATGCTAGCCTACTAATTGGCAGGTGACTTGACCTAGAACCTGAGCTCCCTGGAGGCAGACGGCATGATGGCTAACAGTTACTTAGCACTTACTGTGTGCTGGCCTTGGTGCTAGGCACCGCTGAAGGACTGGGTGATTGTGATCTCATTGGATTCTCCCTGAACCCTGGGAGGTGGTTCTTCAGTTGGGTTGATGCTCCGTGACTCTGGGGACCATCACAGCCCAGGCCTTTCTGCCCTGCGCTGTCTCCCAAAGTCTTTCCCAGCCCATGTTCCTTGCTTCCATGACACCATCCCTCCATCTCATCCTCTGCTGTCCCCTTCTTTTGCCTTCAATCTTTCCCAACATCAGGATCCGTTCCAATGACTCCTGTCTTCTCATTATGTGGCCAAAGTATTTGAGCTTACCCCAGCAGGTGGGTGCTGTTATTATCCCTGTTTTACAGGTGGGGAAACTGAGTTAGGCATCGGTTGAGTGACTTGTCCAGGGTCACACAGCTAGTGTCTGAGGCTGGAATTGAACTCGGGTCTTCCTACTCCAGGCTTAATGCTCTGTGGCATCTCCTAGCGGGTTCCCTTCTGTCTTCCCAGGTCTCCCTCTGTGCTCCATCAGTGTTTCTGCCATGTTCAGTTGGGCCTCCTCAGTGAGCCAGGAAGCTCATTGCACATTAGAACCACACACTGTCTCTGTAACTTTGTCCTGCCCAGCCTAGGATAGCGTGCCATGTAAGCCCAGGAGAGGAGCTGGGCCTTCCAGGTGAGCAAAGCCCTTCCCTAGCAATGCAGGGCAGCAGTGTTGTGTGCAGCTTGTACTCTGGACAGTTGTCTAGCTCTAGGACATCAGAAGTTTAAGTAACTAAGGTCACACTGCTAGGTGTGACCCCTTTTTAGTTGCTCCACTTCTACACAATGTGACGTTTCAAATGTGGCAGAGTAAGGCTGATCCCTGGAGGAGAAGGTTAATGGGATTAGCAATTATACAATTAATCCAATTGTACAAACATTAAGTGTCTTCTCTGTGCCAGATGCTGGGGATAAAAAGATAAAAATGAAGGAACCCCTGCCCTCTGGGAGCTTACAGTCTACTGGAAGCAGTCAACTGCTTCCAACACATAGTGTGTGTGTTGTGTGTGTGTGTTTGTATGATATGGTTGAACCTTCACTTTGAAGACTGAATGGAGGAGGGGGAAAGACTTGACCCACCCCCAGGCTATTGCAGTAGGCAGGAGATGATAAAGTCTGGACCGTAATGGGGGCAATGTCAAGAGAGAAGGGGGTGAATTTGAGAGATGTGGCAGAGGGGACATTGACAGCCTTGGGGACAGCTTGGACATGGGCTAAGAGAGATAATGGCCAGTCCAGGGTGACTCCTGGGTTGGGAGCCTGAGGGACTGGGAGGAGGGGGATGCCCTCGACTGTAACAGAGAAGGGGGGAGGGGAGGGTTTGGGAGGAGAGATCATGAGATTTATTTGGGACGTGTTGAGTCAAGGTGTCTGCTGGACATACTAGGCAAGATGTCGGAAAGGCAGTTGGTGATGTGAGATTGGTTAGGGCAGGATCCGGAGCTCTGAGAATCATCAGCCGGGAGATAGTCATTAAATCCACAGGGAGCTGATGAGCTCACCCAGTGAGGTCATGTAGAGGGAGAGAAGGGAGCTGCCTGTGGTTTGTGGCCAGGGCCTCCAGACTGGTTTCTCAGTTTCTGGGTTCCTCAGTTTCCCAGCTTCTTGGTTTCTTGGCTTCTCAGTCCAGTAACTTCACCCTTGTCATTATCTATTCAGCTCATGCTCTTCTCTCTGATGCCGCAGCCTTGGCTGGGGACAACGACAACTTATCTGTCAGGAGTGGAGGCTGTGGTTCCCCCTCAAACCACACCGTGATCATTTGGTCCCTTGCTGTTTGCCTGCTTTCCAGCTAGCCCACTTTACTCTAAATCCTCAGGAGGAGACTCATATTAGAGTAATATTAACATAATGAACAGAAAAATGGAACCCTGTTTTCTCCAACTTGGAGCAGTCCCCAGAGGCTTATTCTGACAGCTGAGCCAGTGACCAGGCATTTCCTGTTCATATGTGTGTGTGTGTGTGTGTGTGTGTGTGTGTGTGTGTGTGTGTGTGTGTGTGTTTTAGATGCGGGGGGGGGCAGGAGTAGGGGAGGCCATTCCTAGGTTGCTGCTCAATGCTTTCCTTCCCTTTATCTGGGCTCTGAACACCAGGTAAGCTTCTGCCCAGTGGAGGGCCCTGCAGGTCTCTGTTTGGACTCAGTGACCTGGTTACGAAGACTGGAGGATGCCAGCTCACTGGCTTCATTCAGTGATGGCTTACAAATGAGCCCATCAGAGCATCAGTTGCTGGTGCCTGTGCAGGGTGGCTGCGCCCTGAGCTCTCCCTCTTGGCTTTCTTGCAGACGGCTTCACTTCCAGATGCCTGCACGTTTCCTGGTGGATTACGTGAGTGTTTGGAGCAGACTTCTGTGAGGAGTCCTTCGTCCTCTGCTAGGAACAAAGGTTTGTCGGTCACTTGAGCTTTTGGCTTTCCCCTTTCACTTTCTTCAGAGAAGGTCATAGTATTACCTCGAATTTATACAATGCGTCAAGGTTTGCAGAACACTGCACATGCATTCTCTCATTTGGCCTTCACAACAATTCTGGAAGGTCATCCCCTTTTTACAGATGGGGAAACTGAGGCTCAGATGAAGGGCCTTGCCTAAGGTCATGTAATTGGGAAGTGTTTGAGGTGGGATTTGAACTCAGGTCTTCCTGATTCCAAGTCCAGTGCTATCTAGTGCACCAAATAGTTTCTTCAGAAAATTGTCCTGAGGTCGTAGATGTAGCAAGACAGGTGCATAGCTCTGGGGGTATGCATATGAGTCCGAAAGAGTCCCTGTGTTCAGAAAGCTGGCATTCCATTCTACTAGGGGAGCAGGAGGGAAGGGGGCTGGAAAGGGGGTGGGGAAGCCCCTAGAGACGGGAGGGAAGTGAGCGTGGCTGGCCTGGCTGGCCTCTTGAAATGACAGGCTAGAACCGGCATTCACCTGCAGTTCATCAGTCCAACCCTGCACTTTACAGATGAGAAAACTGAGGCTCAGGAAAGCGTCCCATGGTCCTATAACCAGTGAGCGTCAGGATATGAACCCAAGTCTTCCTGCTTCCAGTTTCTTCACTCTGATCACTGCCCCAAGCTGCCAGGAGAACACTGTAGCCCTGGCAGTATCATCCCTTGAAAATACAGTTGCTACACAGTAAATTTTCAGCGTGAGAAGTGCTTTGTTTTCATTTATTTGGGGCCTGGATTTCTCTGACCTAGTTGGATCATAGCATGATTCCAGGTCTGTTGAGTCCAGCACATATTGGGCCAATCCTTACTTGGAAACCCCATGGTTTTCTGGGCTCAACCCAGTTTGGGAAAAATGGGACTCGGTGGTTTCTACCTGTATCTTGCCGGTTGTTTTTGCTGGTGATATGGATGGGTTTGTTGTTGTTGTTGTTATTGTAAACAATTTTCTGAAAGTGGTGTCTCTGCTCTTTGGACTTTTTGAGTTCTCTGAGGTGTCAGTAAACATGAATGAAAGTCATGGTATCGGCTCACTTGGTCGTTTGGGTCTGTGAGTTTGCCCACAGTTTGGATAATTCCGTGATTCTTTTTTTTGAAATGATGTTTCCAGCTGCTTCGAATTTGGAGCGATTTAATTTTCCACAGTAGAAACTCTGCACTTTATGGCATCTATCAATTTTTTGAAAATTTTAAATGGTATTTCCTAGTTGGCTATTTTATTTCTTCATGAATCTTTCTCTTTCCCTTCCCTCCCCCCTTCTCCTCCCCACTCCCCTTCCATCCTCTCCTCTCCTACCCTTCTCCCCTCCTCCCTTCTCCCCTTCCATCCTCTCCCCTCTTCTCCTCTCCTTCTTTCTTGTCTGATTTTTCTACTTTATTAGTTTTTGCCTTGCTTTGTCTTGTCTTTGAATGTGGCCCTTATCCATCTGAGGACATCACTTGGAATCTCTTGTGTGCCTGCTTTTTCCATCTCTGTAGTTTCTGATATCTTCTCTGACTCAGTTGTTCCACAGTATTTTTGGTAACTTTATTCTGAAAACATGGTAGATCTGTTTATTACCAAGCCCTGATCTCTCATGTTTCATGTCATGTTTAACAATCTTTGCATCAGAGATTTCGAGTTTGTAGGGACCTTAGAGGTGAGGAAGCTGAGGGCCAGAGAGGGGAAGGCAATGGACCATGGTCTTTAGGTAGAAGGAGACAAAGCCAGGATGTTATTACCCTTCACACCCTCTCTAGCCCAGCCAAACGCATTTGCCAGCTTCCCAAGTGAGACTTTCTACTTCTGCTGCCCACTCCCATGGCCAGAATTGGTAGCGTCATAGCTTTAGAGTGGGAAGGGACCTTTGAGATCATTGAATCCAAACCCCTTACTTTGTAGAGGGGGAAACTGAGGCTCAGAATTTAAGTGTCTTAAACCAGTTAGTAAATCTGAGGCAGAATTTGAACCCAGGTCTTTGTGACTCCAAGTCTCCATTTTACCATGCTGCCACCCCCCCCCCCCACCTCTCCGGCTCTCTTCATCCCTGCCCAGATTCCTTCAAAGCACAGTGGGAGGCGGCTGGGGGAGGGGGAGGGGATAGGAGGGGGTGCCTCTTCCATTTGCCTAGTTATTGTAACTCTCTCTCTCTTGAAATTATTTTATATTGTTTTCTTCTCCTTGAATATAAGCCCTGGAAGGCATTGACTGACTAGTTTGTGTCTTTGTATCTCCTGGGCTTAGCATAATGCCTGGCACACGGTAGGCACTCTGTAGGTATTAATTGAATGAAATAGAGTAGAACTTGAGTTGTATTTTTGGTTGTCTTTGTTTTACTCATTTTAAAAATCATGGTTCATTTTTATATTCTTGTGTATAGCTCTTTCTCTTCTGGTGTTTTGTTTTATTTTGGTTTTGAGAGGTAATATGGACCCCAGCTCCCTTCAGTCCCATATTGGACGAGGCGGTTTCTGTGGCCAATCGACAAATACTTATTACACACTTATATAGTGGCAGTGTCTGGAGAGCAAGGAGGGGCTGAGAATCCTTTGGGTGGAGCCCAAGGGGGAACTTTTGACAAGATGGGCAGACAGGAATGGGTGGCTGTCTGCATTGGTCTGAGCTCCATTTGAGCCTCTGAGAGTATGTGCCGGGAATTCATAGGAAAATCCCAAAGACTTGCCCCCCCCCCCCACTGGAAGCTCTTTTTGAAATCTGCTGGGAAGCTGGCTGCCACGAGAGAGTGGCTGAAAATCCCCTTGCTGTGGCTGCGAGTGCCTGTTTCTAGGAGGAACCAGGTTTGGGCCAATTCCTGATTGCCTCCCCTGACCAGCCTGGCATCAGAGGCTGTTCTTGAAGTGGGAAAGCCTGGTCCCTGGTTCCCCTTTGGTGCCCTGCTTGGACTTGGACCTGTCCATGGATAGGGTGGGCAGGCTGGACAGGCTACATAGTAGGTCCTTTTGGAGCATGTGCCAGGGGCCTTGGGGCCGAAAGTAAAGGACCTAGCGGCAGACACCCAAATGAGTGAGTTTAAATCAGATCGATTGTAAATTGCTTTCCATTCTGTGTCAGCTTTTTTCAGTAGTTCTGCAGAAAGAAGGCTAAGTCCTTTTCTTATTCTGCCTCATAAATTGTGGTTTTTTGGGGGAAACTTAGTGGTGAGGTTGTGCCTCGTGAAGATTCTTTAAAAATCATTTTGCTGACGTTGGGGTTTTCTTTTTTTTTTTTGTAAACATGAAACAAAAGCCTTTAGTCGTACAATCTTCAGGAATGTCTGCTCATAAGTGAATGAGGTATTTTATCTAGGACATGTTCCCCCCAAAGGATAATGAGCTGTTGGTCTTTCTGGAGCACTTCCTGTACTTGGAGATGAGAGTGTGGGGCAGTGCAGCCTTGGAAAGATATCTGGGTGGGCTGCTGGACAAGCACCTCTCCTGCCTTCATGCCCCTCCCCCTCCCCCCAGCCTCTCCCCCTCCACACCTCTCTGCCGTTCTCTGTGGAATGGAGACCAACCGAAGGCCAGCAGGGATCCTGATTGGACATGATCTCACCTGGGTGTCCCGGGAGAGCCCACGATCAGGAGCAGGGACTCCTCTTCACTAGGAATCAACTCCAGGATCTGGCTTATCTGAAGCCTGGCCCAGGTTGCTCTGAGAAGCTTAGGGTGTGTGCTAACGATGAAATCCATGTGCTCATGTTCATTCTCCCTTGAAATGAAGCCAGAGATTCTTCCTGACGTCCGTATGAGGTCAGGAGACAAAAAACAGTGTTCAGCTTCAGCCTTAATTTGAGGCAGCCAGGAAGCGCAGTGGGTGGAATGTTGGGCTTGGAGGTAGGAGGACCTGAGTTTGTATCCTCCCTCAGACATTGGCCAGCTAGCCGCGTGACCCTCCCTAGTCCAACTGTTTCATCTCAGCCCATTTCCTCATTGGCCAGTGCTTGTGGCATCTGCATCCCAGGGTTGTTGTGAGAGCTTTAGGCCCCTAGAAGGAGCACCCTCTTGTCAGCTGTCATCATCATCGTTGTCATTAGCAGTAGGAGCTGTCAGCGTAGATCTCCAGTGGAGGGAGTCAAGATTTTGGAGAATTGGCCCCACTGTGTATAATGCAGCCTTTCCGTGACTGTGGGAATGGTTTTCGTCCAAAGTCAGGTCTGCTTCAGGTGTGGGCCTCTGCTTCCCAATCGCCCTAACAAGCTGGCGTGTGATCTTTCAGATGTGGAAAGCGTCAGCGGGACATTCTATATCTGTCAGCAAGGAGGATGAGGGTGCCGATGACTGGGAAACTGACCCCGATTTTGTGGTAGGACTTCCCAGCTTATTCATTTTCTTATTTTTCCTTAAATTTATGTGTTCCCAATTTTTTTAGAAAATGTGTATGTGTGTGTTGTGTGTGTGTGTGTGTGTATATATATATATATGTATATATATGTACATATATTGTTTGTCTCTCTGTCTCTCTATATATACATACACACACACACATATATACATATATATATATATATAATGAAAAGGCTGCTGAGATTTCACCTCCTCTTGTTTATTTCTTTGCAGAATGACGTCAGTGAGAAGGAGCAAAGATGGGGAGCCAAGACAGTGAAGGGGTCCGGGCACCAGGAGCACATCAAGTAAGGGGAGGGGGGCTCTCTGCTTCTGTCCTGAGCATGCTGAGGAAAGGGAGCCAGCCAAAGAAGCCAGGCCCCAGCAGTCTCAGGCTTATGCTTCAGTGGCCTGGCTTAATCATTAATCCCCTGCGTGCCGCACAAACTATGCCCCAGAAACCGGTGTCGGTATAGAGCTGCCCCCGGTGAGCCCTGCTGTGTGGCTGTGTGTCTAGGGCGTTCCTTTGTTAAGCCCCCATTTCTTTCCTCTGCTTGGCCTTCCCCAGGAGGAAGTAAATGCCTAAGAGATGGCTTTGTCCCAAGGACCCAGTGGGACCTTCGCACTTTGTGTGCTGCCAGATGGCCAGGTTCCTCGGCCGAGCCCCCCTCAGTGGGTGGAGCCCAGGCCTTGGCCCCATGTGCCTGGATGGAACTCTGAAGGTCAGCAAAGAGACTCACATGTGCCACTGTTTGTCATTCAGCTGCTGAGGAAGTCAAGAAACGAGGTCCTTAATAAAAGCCAAACACTTCAATTCTAAACCTGTTTGTGTGAAACATCCAAAGCCTAAATTCTCAGTTTTTCCAAGAGTAAGGACCCTGTTAGATTAGATTAGATAAAGCATTGATTAAATACCTACTGTGTTCCTGGCATGCAAATACAAGTAGAAAGAAAACTGGCCCTGCCTGCCCTCAAGGAGTTTCCATTCTAATGGGGAAGAGTCCAGAGGAAGGGGTTGGGGTTGGGGGAAGGTCCTGAGAGTCAGGAGCTGCAGTGCCTAGGCCGGTGTCGGCACTTCCTCATAGGGAGGTTCCTTACCCCCAGATGAAGGATGCAGCCCACCCTCTCGGTCTCCTGGCTCACAGGGTTCCCATATCTCCAGCTTCCACGAGGCCCCATCTTATGCTTTGCAGTCAGCTATTAAAGTTTGTACCTATCTCAAATATCTCAAAGTTCCAGTGACACTGATGGAAAGTAGGTCCACCTCTTGTAGGGTCCTTAGCACAGTGCCCAACACATAGTAGGTACTTCTTGACTTGACTTGATTTCTAGCTTGGGGAAACAGAGAAGGTTTTGTTTATAATAGATCATATTTTATTTGTGAAAACTTGGGGGAGGGGATGATTTTCCTTTCTGCTTCCATTTCAGGGATTGAACACATGAGGCTGAGCATAGTGCCTGGCACACAGTAGGCACTTTAAATTAATGTAGATTGTATTGGATTGGTTAGTTCAGTCAAAGAGTGCGCCCACCATCTGAGGTCTCCCTGGCTCTAGCATATTCTGCACTGTCTGGTTTATGACGTGGGTTTTCTGTGAATGATGGGAATCCACAGGGTTACTGGACAATGGCCAATGGGTTCCATAGACTTCCTCATTCTTCTTTCTTCCCCTTAGCCACAAGTCTGCAGGTACATTGCTATAACCCAGAGTCATGCATGTGAACAAACAGAGAAATCTTTTGTCCCCTAGATGGGAAAGAGGTGTCAGCTTTTGGGTCCGTGTATTTTTCTCTCCATGGTCTCATTTTCCCTACAAGAGGTGGACCTACTTTCCATCAGTGTCACTGGAACTTTGAGATATTTGAGATAGGTACAAACTTTAATAGCTGACTGCAGAGCATAAGATGAGGCCTCGTGGAAGCTGGAGATATGGGAACCCTGTGAGCCAGGAGACCGAGAGGGTGGGCTGCATCCTTCATCTGGGGGTAAGGAAGAACTGGGAGAAATGTTTTGCTCTGTTCCAGAGGTATGTGACTTTTCCTTCTTTTATTTCAGCATACACAAGCTGAGAGAGAATGTTTTTCAAGAACATCAGACCCTCAAGGAGAAGGAACTTGAGACAGGACCCAAAGCATCCCATGGCTATGGAGGAAAATTTGGTGTCGAGCAGGACAGAATGGATAAAGTAAGTTGAAAGGTGCCCAGTCCAGCCAATGCTCTATGTAAAATGGCAGTGTTTGAATAGTGAGTGGCTCCCGTTGCCTCTACCCGAGCAGCTGAAAACTCTGGATGAGAATGATGCGAATAGATGAAAGGTCAACTTAGAAACTTGTCAATCTTGGCTCTCCAGCATTGGAATTTGATTGTAGGTCTCTTTTTTTATTTACCTCAAGTGACATAGAAATCCATGTTGTGGCCAATCCTGGTCATGGTGGAGGCAGACTAGGATCTTTGACGTGGTCTACAACAGGGGTTCTTAACCCTTGTGGTGTCCTGGACCTTCTTGTCAGGCCATAGGTGAATCCTGTTGACCCCTTCTCAGGTATGGATCCAAATATGTCCAATGAAATACACAAGATTACAAAGGAGATGAGGGAAGGGATGAGGGTCTGGTGCTAACTCTGTGCATGGGTCAGGGCTTCAGCTGGGGTTGGCAGAAGTAGCCAGGCTTGCCTGCCCTGGCCACCAGCCTGAAATACACAAAGTCAAAGTCCAGACCACCATGTCGATGGGACACTTGCCAGATTCGGCCCAAAGCCCAGCAAAGTTTCTTCAAATCTTGAGTAAACTTAAAAGACTGAAGGTGTAGCCTGCTATAGGTTGCATCTGTACTGAGAAGCTGAGGTTGAAATAACTCTTTTTAAAAGCTTGTGGGCAGGTCCTTATTCAAGTGATCATTTCTAGCTTTTAGCAAAAGCTAAGGGAAGTCTTTGACTTAGCCACGTCAGCTCCCTTCTGTTTCTTTTGACAGTCCTTTGCCTCCTTCCTCCCAACTCATTTTAGACCCTGTGGGGGTTTGTCCTTGAGGGGCAGGTGTGGGAAACAACAGGCTTGTTATTCTGCTCGTGGGGTCATTCTCTGCATTGTTGACAGACCTTAGAGTTGACTGGTTTCTGGGCCTTCTTGGACACTCCGTCTTGATGTCTGCCTGTCTTCCTGCCCTGGATGGAGGCTAAAGGATCAGGTGGTGAACTGGCTCTTCTGGAAGTTGACTTCTTTTTTTTCCTTGTGTATAGGTTGGCTTAGACATTTGACTTGGGCAACGGGATGACATTGTGGTCATGGTGGGGGGGGGGCAGCGTCATACCTGGCTAATAGTCTATGGAAACTGGTGGTTCCAAATGAAGATGTCCATCCCAAATTAGTCATGAAACTGAGAACTGGCACAAAAGCCACCAACAGACAAGAGAGAATGACCTTTGTCATTTATCTCTCTGCCTCAAGGAGCTTTGTGGGAGCAAAGTCAAGGGAAGTGGTAAGAAGGAGGTTCCTGGGCTGTTCTCCCTTGTGGATAGAGGGGGGAAGGAAGGGCCGGCCCCATCTTGATGAGCTGGGTTTGGGGTCTCACCAGTGCGAGAACTGTTTCCCACCATGTACAAGGCTCAAATGCCTTGGAATCAAGTAGAGCTGGGGGAGGTTTAGTGTGGAGTCGGAGGCTCAACTCCGGTTGGAGACAGCATCATAGGAAAAGAACTGAAGACCTGCCTGCTGCTGAACTCCATCATCGGCTCCAGTGATCCATGTTCGGGGCAGCCACTGTTTCCACTGTCTACACAAACCTGACAAGAGAACTTTGGCTCCTTTCAGTGCTGTGTTCAGGCTTGAGTGAGAGGAGTGGCCAGGGGAGCATTGAGGGGCCCCAAAACTCAGCCAGACGATGTTCATTAGTGAGCAAGCTGTGGCCAGGGTGGGGATTGTGGTCTTATTTATGGTGCCCTTTGGGGACCTTTTGTCCTTAATCACTAGCGTAAGGGTGGCCATGACCCACAATGGAAGCCACGAGGGCCCTTGGTGAGGCTATGGCTCAGAGGGTTTCTTGTATTGGACACAAAGTGCCCGCTGCTGGGGGTGGGGTGCAGAGTGGCTGGATTCTCCAGGTCTTTCCCTGCCACTACTGGTTATTAGGGCTGTTTGGATAGGATGGATTTAGGAATTACTTTTTTACATTTATAACCCAGCCAGACTGGGTCGCTATGATGTGCAGGGAGGGCGAGGTCAGTTTTTGTCTCTCTCTTTCCCTTTCTCTGGTTCCCCTTGCCCCAGAGCAGAGAGGGCAGGTCTGGGGCCAATAACTGATATTTGTAGAGTATGTGAACCCACTTTGCAAAAACTTCTGCAGATGGGACACACCCTTTAATGTGAATAATTAAAAAGAAAATTAAAAGCCTGTCCTGTCCTGACTAGTTCCCTCCCCCCCCTCTGCTCTAAATGCTTCTGCCCCAAGAAATGAAGACTGGAAGGACCCAGGAGTCAGGAAGGCTCCTTGCTGACATCACAGCAGGATCTGGGGGAGGAGCTGGGGGGAAATGGGCAATGGGGAAGCCAAGGCAGGTCTGGCTCACTGGGATGGTTTTCTCCCTTTCTTGAAATGTTTTGTTGATGCTCAAAAAAACCCCGAAAACAAAAGAAAAAGAAAACTATCCTAGCGTCACTGTCACTGCCGGTGACTATCCCCTTCCCTGTGCCCCAAGTCAAACCCACTGAGAAGCACAGCAGTTAAGCCAAACCCCCACACAGTGGCTGTGTCCGACAGATCTCTTCCTGAATGCTTTAAATGACAGTAGGACGTACACGGGCTGGATGAAGTCCAAGCTGACAGGAAATGGGGTGCACCTGGCGAGTATTAGTTTCCTGCATCTCTGCTTTGGCAAGGAGGGCGCTGGTATGGAGCCCATCACAGTTTGGCTGCTACGCTCTTTATAGCTCAAGAGCTGGCAAGGACCTTAGAATTCACCTGGTCCGATCCCTTCGTTTTACAGAGAGGGAAACTGAGCCTCGGAAAGGTCATGTCACTGTAGCCCAGGGCCATGTGCGCTCAGGGCACCCACAGCAGGGCAAAGCCAAGACTGGGTCCTACTGCTGCATCAGATGACTGGGGAGTCCTGGGTCATCCAATGTTTCTAAGGCAGTAGCAGCGGCTTTGGAAGCTCACTGTGGTGCCTGGGGTCTTTGCTCACTTGAGGGAGTTCATACCTAGTCAAACTGCAGAGCAGAGTGAGTTCTGCTCCACATGCCTGCCTTTGGTACTTAGGAAGCCATGAGCAAGGGGCTCAAGAATGACCTGGGGGAGGAAAGGAAGTGTCTGGTAGGAATGGGGAGAATTGAAACTGGGCTTAAGTTCCAGCCACCAGCCCTTTGTAAGTGTCGAGAAAATGTTCAGAACTCGGCACTCATTCTACCAAGGTTTATGATATAAGCAAGAGTATGATGTAATATTAGTATGAAAATCTTCCTGTGTAAAATAGTGGACAAGCCCCTGGACATTGTCAGTAACGTTTGTAAGGCACTTTAAGGCTTAAAAGTTGACATCACCACACCGTTGTGACATAAGTATTACAAATGAGGAAACTGAGGCATGAAGAGGTTGTACCTTCCCCGAGTCCCATGGCTATGATGCCAGAGCTGGGATCTGATCCATGTCTACTCACATCACAGCCAACCCTCTCGTTGGGGCCAGGTGGCCTCAGAATTCTGCCCTCTCGTCTGTCTTTTGTTGCAGGTGAGTAGTATTAAGACCAACTCCCCAACTAATGGGAGACTCCAGGCATCACCAGGGTTGTTGCCAGTAGAGAAACTCAAGTTCTGAATTGACATGTTTTGGGATTTTCTTGTCTTTGAGAGTGTGCCTTATGACATATTCACGTCCATAATGTATGTGACCAAAATGCAAATCAAACCTCTGAGTTTGTGTGAGCATTTCCATTAGAAAAGCCTCCGCTCATTAAATGGCAGAGAGAGGCAGCCTGGGGTCGTGCAGACATGGACGACGTGAGAGTCAGGAAGCCTCTGAGCATCCTGGCTGTGTGCCCCGCAGTGACTCCCTTCCAATGCTCCAGACCATGTCCAATAGTCACAGAGATGGCGCTGCCCCGCCTTGGGAGAGGAGCTTCCTCCCCAGCAATTACCACGGCAACTTTAATCACTGTGGTCTGGACGAAAACAAAAACCCCAACGCTGGCATCCCGTCCGCAGGAAGGCTTGCTGGTGACGGCTTATTCTGTGCTCCTGACGCTGGTCTCAGTGTGGCTGGGGGGGCCAAGCTTTTAGGCAGTGAAAATGACCACAGTTTCCATGTTCGGTGAACGTTAAACAGCCAGACCATCAGATTGCCTGAGAAAGCAGTGTGCCTCTGCTGTGAATCCTTTTGGAACAAAAATGAAGCGCCCCCCCCCCACCACCCTGCTTTTTTCCTAGGCCAAGAGCTTCCTGTTGTTTTCTTATGCCTCCAGTGATAAAGTAATAGAAGGTCTGCTCATCAGCTATGTAACTCGCTTTTTGAAAACTCTCTTTCAGTCTGCCGTTGGCCATGAATACCAGTCCAAGCTTTCCAAACACTGCTCTCAAGTTGATTCCGTGAGAGGCTTTGGTGGCAAATTTGGGGTCCAGCTGGATCGAGTTGATCAGGTAAGTGATGGATCTGACCCTTCCTTCTGTGGCCAAGGATGTTATGGGGCTCAGGCAACTTGTGTCCCTAGGGGCTGGTGTTTTGCTGAGCGGGCTTGGACTAGAAACTCCTGACCCAGAAGCTGGGGGAAATATTTTAGAAAGACTATATTTCTGCCCAGGATTTGTGTGATCTTTCAGCAGCTAGGTGGTGCAGTGTATACAGCACTGGGCCTGGAATCAGAAAGGCCTGATTTCAAATCCAGCCTCAGACACTTCCTAGCTCTTATGACCCTGGACAAGTCACTTCACCCTGTTTGCCTCAGTTTCCTCATCTGTAAAATAAGCTGGAGAAGGAAATGGCAGACCACCCCATTTATCTTTCTCAGAAAACCCCCAGTGGGGTCACAGAGAGTCAGACATGACTGAAACTGAACAACCACCACAATCACAGAATCACAGATTTCAATGAGGGAAGGACCTTAGAGGTCCTAGAGCCCACCCTCCCTCCCACTCCCTGCCTCCACCACCCTTTGACAACGGAGGAAGCAGCAGCCCAGAGAATTATTGCCTTGCCCAGGGTCCCATCGCTGGTAAGGGATGAGCTGGCATTTGAACCCAGACCCTCTGACTGCAGGTTCAATGCTCTTGATTTTGAATATTTTGGAACATCTTGTAAGATTGCCAAATTGAATTTGCTGGAAGCATGGTGCTCAGGAGAAGGCATGCTACTTCCTTGATCACAAACTCTGCCATTTCTGGCTAATCAAAATTGATGTCACTCCCCTCCCCCTCTGCCTCACAACTGCCAGTTTACTCTTTGTCCTCAGTGATCTCCAGTCCCTTGACCCCTCAGTTCAGGGCCATCCCCCTGCACTAGCCACCCTCTCCTTTGGTGCCTGGCGCATAGTAGGCTCTTCATAAATGCTGATTGATTGATCTCTACCCCTTGGTGAGCCAGTTCAATACTACACTATCTTCTTCTCTGGAGTCCCTAGCCCCTTATCAGAGATCTTGCTCTGCCCCTTCCAAGCTTCAGCCTTGGAAGCATTTACTAGCATCTGTTACCTTTGCTCCTGTACCTGTGCTGCTCAGCTGTTGGAGAAAACCATGAAGCCATATTGACTGGATATGTCACACTGGGCTCTCACTGCAGCAAGGCAATCCTTTTATATATACCTCCCTAGCAGACTCAATATCCCACTCTCCGCTGTGGTTTTTCCAAACCTTTTCATCCCTTCTCAAACCTGTAGCTCCCCCTCCTCCACCCACCCTCTCAGCTGAGAACCTTGCCTCATTTTCCTGAGAAAATTGAGAGCACCAGTTGAGAGCTCCATCTTCCCTTCCCCTCCTTACCTCCCTTCACCCAGATGCCCTCTGCCACTCTCTTCTCCTTCATCCCTGCCTCACTAACGAGTAGCCCTGCTCCTTGCCGAGGCAAAGTCCTCTACATGCAAAAGTGATCCTATCCCATTACCTGTGACAGAGTGCCTCCCCTCTTACTTATATTCAGTAGCTCACTGGCTACTGACTGATTCCCTCCAGATCACAAACATACTAATGTATCCCCCATTTACAAAACGCTGTCATGTGAACATTCATCCCCATTGGTTTTGTACCTTACTTCTCCTCTCTTTGATGACCAAACTCTTTGAGAAGGTTGTCTGTGACAGGTGGCTCCACTTCCTCTCCTCACCTTCTTAACTCTCAACCACCTGGCTTCCAAGCTTAGTGTTCAACTGAAAGTGCTCTCTCCAAAGTTCCCACTGATCTGTCTCCTACTCACCAGACTGAATGATCTTTACTCAGTGTTCATCCTTCTGATAAACTTCTCCTTGGTGCTCTCTTTCCTCTAGGTTCTCATGGCACTGTTCCCTCCTGGTTCTTCTCCTCCTACCTGTCTGAACACATCTTTGCTGGATCTTCATCCAGGTCATGCCCACACACACTGGAGATCCCCCAAGGCTCTGGCCTTGGCCCTTTCTCTCTCCACACTAGTTTGCTTGGATAGCTCATCCACTCCCATGGATTCAAACAACATCTCTATGAATATGATTCTCAGATTTATTTATCTAGCTCTGACCTCTCTCTTGACCGCCAGTCTTGCATCTCCAACTGCTTTTCGGACTTCTCAGACTAGATGTCCTGTAGACATCTTACACTCAGCATGTCCAAAACTGAACTTGTGGTCTTTCCCCCCAGTCTCTCCATCCTTTCAGACATCCCTGTTCTTGTCAAGGGCACCACCAACCTCCCAGTCAAGCTCAGTGTCATCCTTGATTCCTCACTCATACTCCCTACCCCACATGTCCAGTCTTGCCGGCTCCTATCATTTCTCTCGGTTATACCCACTTCTCTCCTCTGACACTCCCCTCACTTCTCCCATAGCTCCTCATCACCTCACATTTTTACTATTGCAATGGTTGCAATGGTGGGGGGGGTCTGCCTGCCTCAGTTCTCCCCTCGATCCTGTCCATCCTCCATTCAGCTGTTAAGTTGGTCTTCCTGAAGCCCACGTCTGACCATATCCCCTCTCTATTTAAGAAACCCCTACTACTTCTGGGATCAAATAGATAATCTTCTATTTGGCCAAAGCTCTTCATAACTCCCTTCTCCCCGGCCATCCCTTTTTACTGGAGCCACCCTTGACCTGAAAGAATTAAGTAAATCTACAAAAAAATAGCACATAAAAGAATTCTGTGTCAAAAGATCGCTGGGACAAGTGGTTTCAGAAATAATAGTGCCAGTCACAAAGCTTTTGCCAAAGAGTGACGTAAATCTAATAGATAATAAATGTGTGAAAAGAAGACTGCAGAGGCATTAAGGAGAATCGTGGGCCAGTTAGGGAGACTTCAAAGACAGGAGAACTAAAAGTCAAAATCTCAGTGGACACAAGAAATAGTGCAATGAATTCCATCGAAGACAGGTCTATAAAGTAATGAAAATAAAGCCAGAAGCATGCTCAGAGTACAGCAGAGTGTAGAGCAGCTAACTGATGTGCAGGCAGAGTAATTGATTTGGACTGTAAGAGCCAGGACTGCACACCTTGAGCCATCTGGGATTCCCAAAGACACTGCACAAGACTAAAACCTCCCCTCATGGACCCGATGAGACAGTGTTCCCTAGGGAACAAAGCTGAGTGTGAAGGACAACTCCTGCATGAAGAAATCCTACCTAGAGTTCACCAGTGCACAGACTGTTGAATCTTGGAATAAAAGTAAGGAAAGAAACTGAAGAAGCTCTTGAGGTTTCGAGAAGGAAGGAAAAAGTGCTGTTGTACAGCGATGCTGGTGAGTCGTGGATTTCCACAAGCAGGTGATGAGGTGACCTACGTGCAGGAGCGGGGCAGCTTCCTTTGGAGAGAAGTGAGTGCGAGGTGCACGGTGTTACTGTCGGGTGTGCTTGGACCCGTCAACCAAGCTAGTCCCTGAAGCCCTTCGAAACCTGAAAGGATGGAAATGGTGCATGCTGCATTTTCAGATGAGTGTAACAGAATTAGAAGTGAGCATCAACGCAAGTGAAAGCCAAAGTTCTCCGTGGGAACAAACAAAATCTAGGAATAGGGAGGTTAATGAAGGAAGCAGAAAAACAAGCACTACCATTTCATGAACACTCCTCGCTCAGGCCTGGCTCAGTGTGCTTCTTGCCCTCATCTCCAGACAGACTGCACACATCTCTCCTTTGTCTATACTGTGATCCAGCCAAAATGGCCTCCCCTCTACCCATCACTCAACAACTCCCTCTCCCATCGTCGGGCCTTTGCCTAGGCTGTCCTGCATGCTTGGTGTGCTCTCCCTCTGAATTCTTCCCTCTTGCCTTCTTCAAAACTGGCCCCCAGAGCCACTTTCTGTGGGTGAAGTGGCAGGCAGCTGCTGCTTCCCCTGAGGCCCTTTCAAGTTCACTGTGTTTACTTTGTACCTGTTTGCCTACTTATTTACAATTGATAAAAAGGTAATCAGAATGCTTCTCATCAGCATGTGGCCAAACCAATTCCTTAGAATAAGGAGAGAAAGGAAATAGCAGAATTAAGTAGAATAGATTTATCCTTTAGGTCCAGCCATCCAGCCAGGTCCCATGTCTTCTTATCAAGATCTCAGCACCATTGGCATTCCCCTCCCCCACCCCCAGTCATTTAGTATCTTCCCCACTTCTAAATAGGAGCACTAGGGGGTGCCACAATGAATCAAGTGCCAGGGCTGGAGTCAGGAAGACTCATCTTTGTAAGTTCAAACCCGGCCTCAGACACTTACTAGATGTGTGACCCTGGGGGAGTCACTTAGCCCGGTTTGCCTCACTGCCTTATCGATAAAATGAGCTGGGGAAAGAAATGGCTAACCACTCCAGTATCTCTGCCAAGAAAGCTCCAAATGGGGTCATGGAGAGTCAGACCTGACTAAACACCAGCAAACACTTCCAAATATATTGCCAATCTCTCATCAGTACTTGTAAGAGAGGTGGCCAGATTGACTGAAAAAAGCACTGAATGATCCAAGGCAGTTCCAAAAGACTCATGATGAAGGATGCCCTCCACCTTTGGAGTGAGAACGCTTGTATTCTGAGTGCAGAGTGAGGCAGAGGGTGGTTTTTAACTCTTTTTTTGGGCTGTATTTTCTTTCTCAATGTGGCTAATATGGAAATATGTTTTACGTGACTGCACGTGCATCATCTATATCAAATTGCTTTGCTTCTCAAGGAAGGGGGAGGGGAGGGTGGGGGAGAATTTGGAACTCAAAATTTTAAAAAAAGAATGCTAAAAATTGTTTTTACATATAATTGGGAAAAATAAAAATTTTTAAGAAAAAAAACATTGAAGTGCCCTTGAGGCACAGGAGGAGCATGTAGCTCCCACCCTAACGCTTAATGCCTAGGTGACCTTGGATAATCACTTATGCTCCTTGGGCCTTGGCGGTTTCATCTGTTAAATGGGGAGGTCGGACTTAATGGTCTCTGTCCTTGTCCACTCTGGTTCTTATGAACCCAAGACAAACTTGTCAAGCTGCTCATTTGTGTGTCATTTGTGGGTGCCATTTGCACGTCCTCATCAAGCACATCAGTTACTGAGGTCCCCAAATGTGGCGGTTCCACCCCCCACGGTGCTGAATATGGCACCGTTAAAACTTTTCCCCACGTTGTATCGCCTTGTCCTTCACTGTGCTTGAGACGTTTTGGCTGAACAAGACCGAAGGCCACTGGCTTCACGAGTGTTGTGGCCAGACTTAGCAGTCACCTCATTAGTGATGAATCTTTCCTTATGTGACTGGGTTAGTATGGAAGGCGCAGTCTGACATTGGGCCCACACCTGAAGCCCTTTCAGGAAGAACCTGCCCGGGCTCCCCTTCGTGGGCGTATCCTAGGAGAACCCTGAGTCGCCTCCATGCGGGCTGAGGCATTCTGAGTAGGATTTTTGTGGAGGAAATGATTCACAAATATAGGGGGAAATGGGTGCTGTGGCATCCCTTTTATTTGACCTGGTAAAGACAGTCCTATACAGGACAATCATAGACTACTTAAAAATGAATAGATATGCAAAAATACTGAAGATATATGTGTATTTAATGCTTAGTTAAAATCAAATGCAATTTACACCAGCTCTTCCAGGCTGGTGTCATGTCACAAAAATTATCAACATAAAATACCACACACATTTTAAAAACAAAGAAACTAAAACCAATAGAAATAGTCAGTCAACCAGCATTTATTATTAAATACTTCCTACACACCAGAATATGTGTTAAATGCTGGAAATATAAGGAAGCAAAACTGGCCCAGCCCCCACGGAACTCCCATTCCAGCATGGGGACAACTAACTAGGTGCTTATTAGATAGATACAGAGGAGGGGAAAGGAACAATCAGAAGGAAGGGACCAGGAGGAGGTCTTGGATAAAATTCGATTGATGATTCTTAAAATGGTGAAGTGGAATAGGGAATGAGAAAAAAGAAATCTCACACAACAGAAATGTCTTACTGAAGCAAGAGCCTACATACAATGGAAAAACAGAAGGACTTGTTTTTTATCATTTGTGGAATCAGAAACACTACATTTGGACTCCTCAGTCTCTGATGGGTTATATGAGGAAATGGAAATGGTCCATGTCCTTTAAAAAGACCACTGCACACTTGGAATTGCAGAATAAATGGAAGATGTCAATAACTAGGGGACCATTCTGTATTGATGGACAGTGACGAACTCGTGAGTCAAGGGACTCAAGTTCAAGTCAGCCTCTGAAGTTTTCTACCTGTGTGACCTGGGTCATGTTACCTTCCTAGACCTCGGTACTGTTCTCTTCCATACATTGAGACATTTTGCCTACGTGCTTCTGAGGTCTCTTCCAGCCTACAGCCCTGGGTGCTCCAACTCCAAATCTTATGCTTTTTTTCTACTTTCTATGAAAAAAAAATGGCCACAAAGGTGTGTGTCCCTTTGAAACTTTCTGAAGCCTCAGCCTCCCAAGTCTGATGCTAATTTACATAACTATCATAAGGAATTGTTCTCAGCTCATGTTGTTTAGGGGGTGGAAAAAGGGAAGAGAAAGGAATGAGCATTTATATAGCACCTCCTCCCTGCCAAGTACTGTGCAAAATTATCTCATTTGTTCCTCAAAACAACCGTAAGGAGTAGGTGCTATTATCATCCCCATTTACAGTTGGAGAGACCAAGGCAGACAAAGGCTAGGTGATTTGCTGAAGGTCACATAGGTGGGAAGTGTCAGGCTGGATTTGAGCTCAAGCCTTCTTGACTTTGCACCCAGTACCAGCTGCCTCTTCTTGAGAAAATGACTTTGTCAAAGGTAAGACAAAAGGCCTAGGGAAGAGGAAGTCAGTGGACTTCATTGTTCAGACGCGGTTGTACCCGCCGATTTGCTGGAAGGTTTCCAGGTTCTCGGCTGACTGTGGTTTGGGCATTGCAGGTGATAAAAGGGCCCCTTCACTGTGGGTCCTTGGTGAGGGGCTAGTTACTCTGAGCTTAGGAAGTGGTTTGGAGTCTTATGATGTATACACTTCTTTTGTCTTTCATAGTCTGCTGTGGGTTTTGAATACCAGGGCAAAACTGAGAAACATGCTTCACAGAAAGGTAAGGTTGGGGACGATTTACTGACAGAAGGAGGGAAAAAATCCCCTGATCAATCTGATTTGGGAAAGGGAAACAAGGCTCCTGCATTCTTAAAGCCACGGACCATTCCTCTGCATTTCTGAGACGTCTGGGCCAGGCAGAGCCATAACAAATCCTCGTTAGATGTACCTTCCCAGCCTGGGGGCATTCCATTGTCCTCTGGAGGCTGGGCAGCACTTCCAGCCTTCCTCACTATAGACTTAGTGTTGGGCTGATGAAAGATTGGCCTTTTCAGCTTGTAAGCCAAACAGTTCATTTTCTTCCCCTGACAGATGAGTAATGAGCACCTTCTTGTGATATGACTAGTCTAGAATTGTTCTAGCTCGCCCATCAGCAGGTTATCAGAACTGTGTTTTGTTAGGATGTAGTTTTTAGGAAGGCAGCCTCCTCCCTTCCACTTTGCCTCCACCCAATCACAAAAAGAAGAGATTCCTTCATTCTTAGAGGTCCTTGAAGCCTTTGGTTTAGTGGACGTTATTAGCAGCTCTGATGATGAGCGCTTTGTAAGTTTGTGACACACTGAACCAGCCATACTCATGAAAGAGGAGAAATTTCCCGGAGGTATTTTGACTTCCACAAATCTTAGTACTCCAGCCTTTGTTCAAAGCACAGATTCTAATAACACTCTTTGGTCTGGTTGTCCTGTGATCAGTTCCTCAGGGGCGTCCACTAGAGGGCCACCAAGGCCACTTTCAAATGCTCTGCCCACATTCACATTCCCTCAGGGAGGGAAGCAGCTTTCTGCTCTTCTTTCAAAGTGCCCAGACTCCATTTGTGTACACAGGAGAATGCCTCAGCCCCATTGGAAAGGGCTGAATTGCAGTGCTCTGTTGAAGGCTGCTGCTTTCTCTCCTGTTGCTGAAAGTAACCTGCATGTAAGAATCTGGCATTGCTGAAGCACAGCATGGCCCCAGGATTATGGTGCACCGTCCCTGTCCTGTCTGTCCGTCCCCGTCCCCGTTCCCCCCCCCCCCAGCCCAGGGCATCAGGAGCTGCCTGCTAACTCAGCATGTGCTCCCCGCAGCCAGAGGCTCCATGCTACCAGGCTCCTCTATGCAGCCAGGCTCCTCCGTGCAGCCAGGCTCCATGCCTGGATTTGCTGAGTTCTCAGAATCCTTTGTCTCAGCGAGCTCATAACCTTGTCACTTTCGCTGGCTCTCATGCTTGTTGTTTCCACGTGCTCAGATTATTCTAGTGGTTTGGTGGTAAATACGGTGTGCAGGCTGACCGGGTGGACAAGAGCGCAGTGGGCTTTGATTACCAGGGTAAAACTGAGAAGCACGAGTCCCAGAAAGGTTTGTATCCCTGGCGGGGGTGTGGCAGGGGGGTTGAGGGGCCACCTGGGCTGGAGGGCTGGCAGAATGACATTTACAATCACTTGCTTTCTCTAGATCATTGCAAAGAAGGCCATGGGGAAGGATTCATTTTTAGGGGTGGTGATCATGTTAAACTCCAAAAACTTAGTTTACTTTTTTTACTGTAACTTAAGAGGTACAGTAACTAACGGAGGATGGGGAACCAACTTCGGAGCCAAGAAGATCTGGGTTCAAGTCCTTCCTCTGACCCATAGTGGCTGTGTGACCCTGGGCAGGTCACTAGCCTCTCAGTACTCTGGGCAGCTCTCTGTGCCTACAAGCTTAGAGCAGATTCCCACCTGCATTGGTAGGAGTTCCAATCAACCAATAAGCACTTTTCTTAAGCTCTTACTATTTACCAGGCACAGTGCTAGGTTTTGGGGCCACACGTACAAAGAGTCCCTACTCTTAAGGAGCTGGCATTCTGCTGGGGCAGACAATGAGGGTGAATTAAAATATATATGGCACAAATATAAATTGAATGCACATAGCATATGCAGCGTTTATGTGCACCTGTAGGTATACATGCACACATACATATGCATATGTGCATACACATGAACACACACTATTCAACACATACAAAGTGATTAAAGACAAGGTGCTTTGGAAGGGAGATCAGGACAGTGCTAGTCTTTTTCCTCCTCCCTACTGTGACCTACCATGATTCTTAGAGACTTGTGACAGTCTTTAAAAGATTTCACAAAGTGAAATATCTTTTTGGGGAAAAAAAAGAAAGATGGAGCGGAATGGTTTGCAGTCTTTGTGTGGGGCGCCATGTTGTTTTCTGTTCTTGTTGGGTCGTTGGCTGTGACCACGGCTGTTGTCACCAACATCGCCCAGTCCCTCTGGGTGCGCTGACTCCGCTCATTAGCCCTGTGCCCTTCAGGACAAGTAAAGATGCATAGCTTTGAGCTCTGGCTTTGGGTTTGAATGACTGGATTAGATGGCATGAATGACTCTTTTTTTTCTCCTATTTTCCTAGATTATTCCCGAGGTTTCGGTGGTAAATATGGTGTCGATAAGGACAATGTGGACAAAAGTGCTGTTGGCTTTGAATATCAGGGCAAAACAGAAAAGCACGAGTCCCAGAAAGGTTTCTCCAGTTTTCTCTTGTGTTCTTGACTGTTTTTCCCTAACATGATGAGCCCTTGGGTCAGTAGATGGCTTTTTAAAAACCCCTCAGACCCCAGAATATGATTCAAGTATAAACTCAGCTCCGTCTGCCTTTCCTGCTCTGATTGTGGCCCAGTAGTATCTGTACCTTCCTAGCCTTGTCTTGAGAGTGTGCAGCATGTATATGTCCTTTTGATGGTGAAACCCTGGGCCTAACAAATGGTGTTTGGAGTCGCACGGATTGGAGCTTCTCCTCTGTAGGGGCCTGTCTGTGTTGGTCTGATCCATGAGTAGCATTGACCCTAGCCAGGGAGGCCGGGGGGGATTTTTCTCGATGCCTCCCAAGAAGGGAGGAGACCTTCCTTCCAGAGGACACCCGCTCACCAGCACAGAGATCCTTTCCCAGGACAGTTGGGTGGGGAAGGGGGGACATGCCCACAGTCTGCCATCTGTCCCTGCAGCGTGGTCTCAGCCCTCCGCCCATTCTCCAGTTCCTTCTGTGATTCTTGTGGCCTTTTATTATGTGTGTAGACTATGTGAAAGGGTTTGGAGGCAAGTTTGGTGTGCAGAGAGACAGACAAGACAAGTGTGCCTTGGGCTGGGACCACCAGGAGAAAGTTCAACTCCACGAATCCCAAAAAGGTACAGCCATCTCCCTCCGCAGTTCCCACCAGGGCCAAGAGAAGGCTCTTCACCTGGAGGTCGATGATGCTCCAGTGGGCCAGCTGGGATTTAAAGGGGCCTGTTGGCTTTGCTTGTTTGAAGCTGCTCTTCGCTTGTGGGTGTCCCAAAGAAACTCAGCTCGTGCGGGGCTCCAGCTCTCACTCTGCTATTTTTGACAGATAGAAACTGGGCTCAGGCAGGATTTGAGATTGGCAGTGGTTTTTAGGGTATTTAGGGAAGGAAATAATTTTGCTTCTTACCCGAAAGGGTTAGGGAGAGGGGTCTTTTTTTTTTCTTTAAAGAAAACAGAACAGAACCCTTTTGTAATTTCCAACAGAGAAATCTTAGATATAGTCAGTGAATGTTATCCCTGTGTACATGACTCACAATGTGTGTGTGAGTGTGTGTGTGTGTGTGTGTGTGTGTGTGTGTGTGTGTGAGTGACATGTTTGTGTCTTTCACGTACACACAGACGTATTCACTGGGGAGGAATGTTAGAAATGCAGCTGTGAAGATATACTTAAACAAACTTGGGTGAAGTTACTTTCTCCGTGTCTCAGTTTCCTTGTCTGTAAAATTGGGGATTTGAGCTGTTTCTTTCCTTTTCCCCTCTAAGAGCTAGCTGTCTGGGTTGACCCCACACACAGCACCCATGCTCTGAGCCTCCAGAGAGTGGGGCTGCATATCTACATTCCATCGTCCCCTTATGATGCAAACTATAGCTAAGCTCTTGCTTCCTCTGAGCAGTGTCTCTGGCTGTGTCACCAGTCCGTGTCTCTGTAACTAAAAGTGTCTTTTCCTCTCTTGGTTGTCTTCTGTGCTGTCCTATGTGGATTTTCAGATTATAAGAGTGGTTTCGGAGGCAAATTCGGGGTCCAGACCGAGAGGCAGGACCCATCTGCTGTGGGCTTTGAGTACAAGGAGAAATTGGCGCAGCACGAATCTCAGCAAGGCACAGTCGCTGCGCGGCCTCGGGCTCCTCCTCACCTTCCCAGGCAACCACTGGTAGCACAGCCTTGCACAGACAGCGCCTATTGGGGGAAATCTCGGGCTAGTTAGACCAGATCAGCCTTGGAGAAGGGCCACGAAACCTGCCTCAGAGGGCTGCCTTGAAGCCTCATGGCTTCCACGCCCTATGGTGTTGGGGGGTTGCTATCAGAACCAAAGGAGTAGCAGGCTTTCTTGGCTCGCCTGGAGGTGACACTCTAATTACCATCACAAACCCCAGAGCTGGCCAGTGCTCCCCACAACCTTTGTCGTACTCAAAGATCAGAAAAGATGCTCCCTACAGCTGATTCACATAGTTGCCACTCATGAGGAAATTGTATTTAGACAAGGTCCTTTGGGAGTCAAGGTCACAGAGTTCAACTTTGGTACTTTTTAGATAAATCTGCATCTGAGAAAGCATCCTGCAGGATCCCCAGGAAATGGGCAGCTGGGTGGTGCAGTGGATAGAGAGCTGGGTCTGGAGTAGGAAGATGCATCTTTCTGAGTTCAAATCGAGCCTCAGACACTTCCCAGCTGTGTGACCCTGGGCAAGTCACTTCACGCTGTTTGCCTCAGTTTCCTCATCTGTAAAATGATCTGGAAAAGGAAATGGCAGACTATTCCAGTATCTCTGCCAAGCAAACCCCAAATGGGGTCCTGGAGAGTCAGACATGACTGAAAAGTGACTAAACAGCAGCCCCTAGGAAATCTGACAGCTGCTGCCGTATTTTAAAAGCCCACCCCGCTTTGAGTTAGGATTGTGGCCCTGCAGGATGGCAGGCAGATTTCACAAGAGCCGAGACAGTCATTGAGGATGGCCGTGATGTGGCCTCTGGTTAAGCCCCAAGCATAAATCAGACAAAGCCTGGCGCTAGATCACAGGGCCGGGAGGACGCCATATGTGTTCTGTGGTGCCTTTTTGTTCCGTTGATGTTGTTTGTTGGGGGGCAAGAAGAGAAACGTTTTACTTTGGAAAACTCCATTCAGGGCCCAGTACACTTAGCTGCCCTTCAAGGAGCTATGTGTAGAGCTTTGAAATAAAAATAAGAAGCGTTCCCAGCTCAAAGCATTGTCAGTGGTAGGCATTTTGAGTAAATAGCAAAGAGCAAAATGTTCTCTCTGCTTTAGAGAGAAGTCTTTCCCCTTCATTAGGAATTCAGGCTTAGCGCTTAGGACCTGAGCAGTCGGCTGGAAACTAGTAACTTCCTAACTTTGCAGGACAGATATTAGGCTCTCATTCTCCCATAGCTGCTAGTAGAAATCCTGCAGCCTGGCCAGGAGAGGTAAGGGGCTTTGTGTCCATCTCCCAGAGTGCATGATTTCAACCCGTGGGTCTATGTGGTGAATAATTCTGCATGGACATTTGACTTGGAAGCAGACATGTTCCTGCCATGTAGTTATTCTGTGGGTGGAATTCCCACATGGTCTTTTTCTTCCTTAAAAATAATCAAGAAAAATGCCATTAAACTTGGTTTTTTATGCTCATCAAATACCAGAGCACACACAAGAAACCCAACCTGAACCAAGTCTGCTGTGAGGGTTGTCAAGTGAGAGGCCGTGCTATGAAGTGGTGCCTGTTGAAAGACATCATTCTGTCATTGCTGTCCTCTGCTTTGGCTCCGTCAGCGATCCTGCTGGCCCTGGCCAGCCCTCCCCTGTCCCAGCACGAGGCGAGCATGCACATGGCCCTTCTGTTTCTCACCTGCCTGTGGACCGAATGTTTGGAGGAGAATTAGAGCCTGTCTTTCACAGAACAACTCCCTCCCTCTGTGGCACTTCTCTGTCTAGTTTTCCTTACACCCCTGCATCTTCCTTTGTCCATTTTATCCATCTCTGTGCATGCACCTCCTCTGGGGAATGCTCCCTCCTTCAGACTGACCCTAACCTGCTGTTCTTCCCTGTTTCAGATTATTCCAAAGGATTTGGTGGAAAATATGGGGTTCAGAAGGACAGGATGGATAAAGTAAGTATCCCCTTGTGTCCCCATGGAACGAAGAGTCCCTGGTCTGGCTCAGAAACCTCCTGGTCTGGCCCCTCTGGCAGCCCGGGGAGGCTTCTCAGAATGATGCTTGGAAATGACCAAGGAGACTAAGTGTGTTGAAATACAGTGACTGCACATTTCCAAAAACAAGTCAGTGGCCCCCAACGTTAGAACCCTTGCCCTAAAGGATTTTTGTATTTACCTTTTGTTATTTGGGATTGTACCTTGAGTGGGTACATTTTTAGAGGGTACTGTGGCAGCTAGGGGGCACAAGAGTGCACAGAGTCAGGAAAACCTCAGACCAAATCCAGCGTCAGACACTGACTAGCTGGGTGACTCTGGCGGAGGCGCTGAACCTCAATCTCCCTGTCTGTAAAATGAGGATAATAATAGCATCTTCTTCTAAGGATTATTGTGTGGATCAGACAAGATATTTGTAAAGCACTCTACAGACCGCAAAGTGCTATATATATGTGCTAGCTGTTCCTGTTTTAATTAGGTGATATAATATAATTAGCACCTTACTATGCAAAATGATGCAATAAGCACCACAGAGCTTATGGGAAAGCGGGGGTTGGGGTATCATACTCAGAATTTTCATTAGTGGCATGTTAAAAAAAAAAAGATAAGAACCTAATCGAAAATGCTAGCACAAAAGTGCATGCTGAATGGTTAAGAGATGCAGAAATGCTACAGTGAATAGTGGTGTCCCAAGCTCAAGCCACTGCTCTGCCTCCGCCCTGATTCCTGTGTGGCTGGCCCAGGCTGGCAAAGTCGTCTCCAGCTCGTCCCTCCAGGACCAAGGCAGAAGGAGGGCTGGGGGCAGAGGGAGTGCGCAGTTCAGGCAGCCCTCCTCCACTCAGTCCCCACTGTACTGGAAGATAGACAGTAAATGTGGCCTTCAATTTGGAAAGCCCCACAGTTAGCTCACGGAAGTGGGCAGCAGAGCTGCTCATGATTGTGAAGTGGGGCCGTTTTCTGCATTCTCCCTGTTTCTCCAGGACGAAGTTGTGTGTAAGCAAACTCAATTTGCATTGTGGTCAGATTGTTCCCTAACATATCAATTTCTTGGAACAATTTTATATTTTCAAAGCAAGTGTTAAAGTGGCCTGACTGTGCCTTGAATCTGGCAGTGCCACCAGGAATGAATTAATTTGCAGACCTAGAAGTGTAGACTTAACTGTTCCTGCTATCGTTAGCTCTGTGGTCATCTGTTCCATTAGCAAACATTATTGAAACAATTACTTTATGGTAGACCCTATACCAAGGGCTGGATACACAAACCAACAGTCCCTGCCCTCCAGGCCCTGACTGTCTAGGCCAACGAGATGGCCTGTACCTACACACGGAGATACAACGGAGCCCAGGCCATGGCTGGGGGCCAAAGGGAGGCACTGGCTCTTGGGGGAGGCTCAGGGAAGGCCTCACCTAGAAGATGGTCCTTGAGCTGAAGAGAGAGAGCGTTCCAGGCAGGCACAGAGATGTGGAGATGGGACGTTGAGTGTGTGTGTGTGTGTGTGTGTGTGTGTGTGTGTGTGTGTGTGAGAGAGAGAGAGAGAGAGAGAGAGAGAGAGAGAGAGAGAGAGAGAGAGAGAGGAGAGACAGCAGACAGAGAGACAGAGAGACAGACAGAGAGGAGAGACAGACGCAGACACAGACACAGAATTGTATCATCTTTCTGTTGGTTACTTAGTGTCTTCCCCATCAAACATACTTGGCACACTGTAGCAGTAATAGGTGATTGTGCTGCTTTTTCATTTTTTGTAGAATGCCTCGACCTTTGAAGACATTTCCAAGGCTTCCTCGGCTTACCAGAAGACATTGCCGGTAGAAGCTGGTGAGCCCCTCCCCATGCTCATGGTTTCCCATAAGAAATATCAAGGGCCATGCCATGGATTTTAAAAGTATGAATGAACAGCAGGGAAGACTCTTTCCTGGCGGCAGAAGAAGCTCCAGGCCTTTTTTTCTGGCGAGAATTTCAAATTCTTTCTCACTCGATCTGTCATGTTGATGTGTTCTTGCCCACAAGGTTGTCTATTCCTGGTCAGCCAGTTGACAGCATTTAATTTCAGTACCTACTGTGTGCCAGGCACGGGGCTAAGCGCTGGGGACCCAAAAAAAAGGCCAAATAAATTCCCCGTTCTCCAGGGGGTCACAGTCTTATGGGGCAGACAGTGGGCCAATAATTATGTACAATGTGTATGTGTATGTCCTTTTCTCGGGATAAAATAAAAATAGACTTTGTCTCCCTTTCTAGTGAACAGCAAAACAAGTAATATCCGAGCGAACTTTGAGAACCTGGCCAAAGAGAAAGAGCGAGAAGACAGGAGGAAGGCAGAGGCGGAGAGAGCGCAGAGGATGGCTAAGGAGAAGCAGGAGCAGGAGGAGGCCCGCAGGAAGCTTGAGGTCAGTGGCGACCTCTGCCTTGCTACTCTGCTGGTTCAGACTGCCCCCATGCTGGGCCTTTTCAGTCAAAAGCCTTCTAGCTTGGCTCAAACATGCGCTGAGCTGGTGATGGGATTTATCGGATAGAATGCGGAGCTTGGCGGTATGAAAGACCTGGGTTCAAATGTGTCTTTGACGTGTCCCGGGCCACTTTTCTCAGATGCAGCTTCCACAGGTTGTTATCGAGGTTAAAGGAGACACCTGGTCTCTCTCCCCCCGCTTTACTTCCCGTCTCTGTCAAATTCTTTGCAAACCTTAAGGTGCTTTATGAAGGTCATTTTGCTTGTAGAGGTGAGAGGGGCTATGGAGGCCATGGAGCCTAAAATGCACACCTACCCATTTTGTAGATGTGGAAACTGAGCCCCAGAGAGAAGAGAGCCAGGTATATTATTTTGTCTGTTACCCTTATGTTGTGGGCTGGACAGAGAGCTGGTTTTCCAGGCCTTGGGTGTCTTGTTACAGACCTGAACCTTCCTCCTGCCTGGTATATGTTGGCTTTTCTGGAATCTGCCCAGAATTTTCCACCTCAGCCTGTCCGTTACCCGTGTGCCCCACCCTGCTGGTTGATGATGTCAGAGGTGGGAAACCAGCCAGGCCCTGGGGGTCCCCTGCCTCTCAGTGCAGACCACCTGCAGCACCAAGTGCTGATGGGAAGGGGGCACTTTGGGGCACATGCTCTGAGCCTCACAGGGACAACATGGCCTTCCTCCTCCAGGTGCCGTGGTAGAAAGGAGGTCCACAGCTTTGAGAACAGCCCTGGCCACCTTTCCTTGTCCCTCTTTGGGGGGTTGCCTGCTGCTGTGGTGGGCCTCCCCTGTCTCCCGAGGGCCTCCTTTCCATGCCTAGTCTCTGCATCCTCAGCTGAGCACTGTGGCCGTCCTTCTCTTAAACACACCTTTGGCCTGTGGCTGTCAGCCCTGAACAGCCCATCCTGTCCACGTTACATCCCAGTGTGGGCTGCTTCCCTTTCTTTGGTTACCACCCTTTGGCACGGGTCATGGGCTTCAGCCGCTGCATTACCTTGGGAACAGGAGGGTTCGCATCAGTTCTTCCAAAGACGTGCACATGTCTGGTCGTTCTCGTACGAGCTTACATCCCACGATGGTGTTTTCTGTCCTTGTTGGGGGTCGTCCTCAAACTTGCCTTAAAGCTGTGATCTGACAAACCCTGGGTTTTGAATTACAGGAACAAGCCAGAATCAAGAAGCAAACTCCATCTCCTCCTCCCAGCCCCCAGCTGCCAGCCGAGGAAAGGCCACCCACCAGCCCAGTCTATGAGGTCAGTGCGTGACCCTGAGCTGGAGAGCTGGCTCCCCTCAATTAATCGCCAGCTCCCTTGTGATCGCTAGCTCTCCTGTGATCTCTATCTCTTCTGTGATTGATCACCGGCTCCCCTGTAATCGCTAGCTCCCCTCTGATTGATCGCCAGCTCCCTTGTGATCGCTGGCTCTCCTGTGATTGCTCACCAGCTCCTCTGTGATGAACCGCTTGCTTAGTGCTGAACGGGATGGCCTCTAAGCCCTTCCCCTGATCTCACCCTACACGAGCAAGGCCATCAGCTTGACAACTTTTGGCTGCCTCTGTTTCCTCTGCTTATTTTCCCCGATGTTATGTCAAGCATTAGTTGGGGTGAAGACTAAGGACAGGGTGGGTGTGTCTGTGGCTTTAAGGGCTGGCAGTGCCATTCTAGGGAATGAGGTGCCCATCTCCCAGCCAGATTTCTAGGTGGCTTCACAGTAGATAGAGCCCCAAGCCTGGAATCAGGAAGCCTCATCTTCCCAAGTTCAAATCAAGCCTCAGACACTTACTGTATGACCCTGGGCAAGTCACAACCCTGTTTGCCTCAGTTTCCTCATCTATAAAATGAGCTGTATCTCTCCAGTATCTCTGCCAAGAAGGCCCCAAATGGGGTCACAGAGAGTTGGATTGAAATGACTCAGTAAGCACATGACTGTAGAGGGCACAATGCCAAAAAGCCTCAAATCAACCAGGCATTAGTTAAGGGCTTAGTGTTTCAGGAGTTGTGCTGGGCACTGGGGAGAGCAGTCCCTGCCCACAGGGAACTTCCATGCCACTGCACGCATGCACACAAACACAAGACCACTACCGGGGAGTTTGGGCACCCCGCACAGAGTGGGGCTTGAGCCTCATCCTTTGGCCATGCATGAGGTGGGGGAGGGGGATCGCCTGTGTTTGGTGCAGGACTGGGTGGGGGGAGGGGACAGAAGACGTACAAAATGGTCCTTTCCATCGAGGAGTGTCGTTGGGGAGAAACCTGGGCGCCGGGTAGAGGCCCAACGGTGGGCCTGCTCAGTGGGGAAGCGGGGAAGGGCCAGCCTGGAGGGACCATATGAGGTGAGCAAGCTGCTTTCCTTGTGGAGAGCCTGGGTGCTCTAGGGTCAGCATCCCAAGGCAAAGTGCTGTCTGCCTCAGTTTCCTAATTTGGGGGATGATATGAGCACTTACCTACCAAGATTGTCAGGAGGAGAAAACAAGATGACCTAATGTTTCTACGTGCTTTGCGGACTTTAGGGTGCCTTCTAAATGCTACCTCTGCTAATGGTGAGAATGATGTCAGGTGAGCTTCCCTCTGACTCTCCCTAGGATGCTGCATCTTACGAGGCCGAGCCCGGGTACAAAGGCCACAGTACTACGTATTCTGGGCCGGAGCAGCAGTCTGAGTACACGGCTGTGCCGTCAGACTACCAGGAGACAGTGAGCCAGCGGGGCCTGGCGCAGGAGCCTGAAGCTGTGTATGAGACCACGGGGTCGATGGCTCCCAATCAAGAAGGTGCCGAAAGGGGGGGGTGCTGCCAATGCCTGCCGCCTCCCCAAACTGTCCCTGTGATCGCTGTGGAGTGATTGGGGTGGCAGGTTGTCTGCATCACCCAGGAGGGTTTGCCGGGCCCCCTTTGCACACTCCCATGCTGCCTCTGGAGGTCACCCGAGGCTTTTGGGGTACTCAGGGTTTCCCTGATGATTGCCTGAATTCATCATGAGCCATTTATTATGTGTGGTTGCTCCCCCAAGAGGGTGCCAGGGGCCTGGGTGGTGCTTTCTCGCTCTCAGACTTATGTTTGAGACCTGCACTGGCCGGGGCTGGAGCCAGACTCCTTGGTGAAACTTCTCTGGATGGAGCCACTGTTCCAGCTTGGTGCATAATGGGACTGGAGGGGTTGAGACCAGAGACTGATGTCTCTAAAAGGGAAGTAGAAAAACAGATCTAGGCACGAGAGGTGCTTCACTGGCATATCTGTGGCCTCGTGATATATAGAGAGAGAATGTAAAAAATGAAGATAAGGAACCCTTCCCCCCCAAAGGGGACCAGGAATGGAATCATGTAGATGTTGCTATTTGAGCTGACTCAGAAAGAAGTCAGGGATTCTAAGAGACAAGAGTTGAGGAGAGAGCATTCCAGGCACAGGGACCAGCTCACGCAAGGGCCTAGAGGTGGGAGATCAGAACTGGAAGAAGGCCAACTGGGTTAGACATAGAGTGAGGGAATGGTAGCAAACTGTAATAAGGTTGAAACAGTAAGTTGGGGCCAAGTTTTGCGGGTTTCTAGCGCCCTGCAGAGGAGCGTATATTTGAACCTAGAGGTATTCAGAAGCCGCTGGAATTTATGGAGAAGTGTGGTAACCTAGTCAGCTAGATGCTTAAGGCAAATCCTGGCAGCTGAGTGCAGGGTGGATTTGTGGTTTATATTTGTATCCTTTCATATAACAGAGCTTAGATTTATTTTTTTTAAAAATTAAACTGAATTTAAATTACCTTTTTTTCTATGAATTTATGAACTATTTATAATCATATATTTTTTTGGTTGACTTTTAGAGGAAAATACTTATGATGAATATGAAAATGACCTTGGGATCACAGCCATAGCCCTCTATGATTATCAGGCTGGTAAGCAAACCACACAATGTGTGGAGGTTGGGCTGGGCCCTGGGGGTGGGGCGAGGGCCGGGGCTTCATGTCGATGTTGGTTACATTTGTTTTCTCCTTGGTTAGCTTCATGGCTGGGCAATCTTTTTTTTTTTTTAAATTTTACTTTTTCCGATCAGCAAAATTCACCCTTTCTTCCTCCTTCCCCAGTTGAGCATGAAAGAAAAACAAAACCTCTGTTACAAATGTGTATAGTCAAGCAAAATCAATTTTTTTCATTGACCACATTTAAGAGGAAAAAAATACATAAGCACATGTACACAAACACATGCATGGTTACCTGCATACATGTATACATAGGTACACACACATGCATATATATGCACACTCACATTCACAGTTTACGAAATTGAATTTTTTTGTCTGCTTTCACCACGCACACATATACACACCACACACACACACTGCACACACACCACACTCACACCACACACATTCACACAACATGCGCACACACGTGCGCACACACACACACACACACACACACACAAGGATTCTATCTTCTTCATATTCCATAACTTATTCAGACATTCCTAATGGATGGACAACCCCTTAGACTTCAATTCTTTGCCACCTCAAAAAGAGCTATAAATATTGTTGCACATTTTTAGAGTTTGTTTTCCTTACAATGAAGTCCTCCCTTTATCCACCCTCCTAATTTCTCCCTTTTTCTTTTATTTCTATGTTGAACAAAATGTGTCTCTGCACCCACCTTTGTCTAGCTCAGATGAGGACAGGGTTCAAGTGTCAGCTGCTTCCCCCCCCCACTTGTTTGTATAGATGTCTCTTTCCACACCCAACCTCCCCCCACCTTTCCCAGTGTATTCCCTTTCTCTTTTCTTTCCGTTCTGTTTAAAAGATCACCAAGACTTAACGGCCCTCTCCCAGGTACTCTGTCCAATTCCCTCTGTGACCCTTGATGATGGGAGGGTTCGGAGGGGACACGTGCGCCGTCTTCTTCTCATCTTAGGGTGTAAACAGTTTATCCCGGTTTTGGTCCCTTATGATTGTTTTTGTTCACTTGGTGGCTTCCCTTTTTGGTGGAATTATGGATCCGGCCCCAGGGCAGGATTGGCAGTACTTGGTTAGGCCAGGGTTTCCAACTGAAGTGCTCGCCCTCTCATTAATCAACAAGAGTTCTTTCTTTCATTTGTTTGTTTGCTCTCCTTTCCCAATTTTATTTTTCCCTACTTGATAGTATTTAATTCTTTCTAATTACATCCATAGTTTTCAGCATTCACCTTTATAAGATTTTGAGTTCCAAATTTTTCCCCCTCCCCCTCCCCAAGATGGCATGCAATCTGATACAAGCTATCCATGTACAATCCTATTAGACGTGTTTCCACATTAGTCATGTTGTGAAAGAAGAATCAGAACAAAAGGGAAAAACCATAAGAAAAAAAGAAAAGAGAGAAAACAGTGTGCTTCAATCTGCATTCACATTCCACAGTTTTTCTCTGGATGTGGATAGCATTTTCCATCATGAGTCTCTTGGAATTGCCTTGGATTGTTGTTTTACTGAAAAGAGCTAAGTCTCTCAAAGTGGGTCATTACACAATGTTGCTGTTACATATACAGTGTTGTGGTTCTGCTCACTTCTCTCAGCATCAGTCCATCCAAGACTTTCCAGGTTTTTCTGAAATCCACCTGCTCATCATTTCTTATAGCACAATAGTATTCCATTACATTCACATACCACAACTTGTTCAGCCATTCCCCAATTGATGGGGCATCCCTTTATCTTCTGATTCTTTGCCACCACAAAAAGAGCTGCTATAAATATTTTTGTACATGTGGGTCCTTTTCGCATTTGTATGATCTCTTTGGGATATAGCCCTAGAAGTGCTATTGCTGGGTCAAAGGGTATGCAGTTTTATAGCCCTTTGGACATAGTTTCAAATTGCTCTCCAGAATGGCTGAATTATAGAGTTCACAACTCCACCAACAATGCATTGGTGTTCCGATTTTCCCACATCTTCTCCAGTATTTATTGTTCTCTATTTTTGTCATATTAGCCAATCAGATAGGTATAAAGTGGTACCTCAGAGTTCAACAAGAGTTCATAAGCACCTATTATGTGTCAGGCACTGTGCTAGGCACTGGGGATCCAGACTGAGTTGAAATGGTCCCTGCCCTTAAGAAGATTAAATTCAGCTCTCAATGGTGGCTTTTGGGAATAGGGCCGCTGGAGAAGTGCATGCCTTTCATTCATTTCTCTTTGCCAATTTCTCCTTTATAGCTGGTGACGATGAAATTTCCTTTGATCCTGATGATATCATCACCAACATTGAAATGATTGATGATGGCTGGTGGAGAGGCGTGTGTAAAGGCCGATACGGGCTCTTCCCAGCCAACTATGTCGAGCTGAGACAGTAACGAAGATGTTTTCTCATCGATGCCTTAATGCCATAGTCTGCAAACCTGATGTCTACACTACAGAGTCATGCTTCGGGGAGGGAGGATGGCGAGGGGAAGATACATACTGCTTTTATATTTAATACTTTTGCTGATGCTCTTAAGAATGTTTAATCCTCAGAATTTGCTAATATATTGTAATCATGTTTCCTTGGAGGACTTGGGTGATGGTGTTTAAGCCTTTAAGGCCTTTCCTCTTTTTGCCAAATGGGATGGTTGTTACAAGAAGCCATGCCAAGGACCTTTTGTCCTTATGTGGGAGCAGGCAGGGTCCCCTGCCCTGCCCAAGACAGCGGTGCTGAGGGAATCCTTTCTCTGCATGTTGGCAGTGCCTGTGAGGACCCTGCAGGCCTCCTGGGCATGTCCTGGTTCTTAGAGGAGGAAGGAGTTAGGGAAGAGTGGCACTAGAGGGGGTCAGAGTGGACCAGCCTTTCAAGCCTCTTGTCATGAGTGAGGTTCCTTACCTACTTTTATAGACTTATTCTCAGCGTCTCCTCCTTCCATCAAAGAAGCCCGCAAGCATCCAGGTATGGAGACTTGAGTTGGGGTTTGGTTTAGATTTGGGACTTTTCATTCTCTCTCCCTTCTTCCCAGAAGCCCCAGCTCCAGGAGCCTGACAAGCTCCTCTTGGGTCCTTTAGATTAGGCAGTTCCTCTACGTTACCCTGTCCCCGCCCCCAGCTGCTCATCCACCTCCAGATCTTGACAAATTCTGTTCCTCACGGCTGCTGAGATATCGCCCTGTGATGACGGTGATGACGACGTGCCCCCGCAGGGCCAGCGTCTCTCATAAACACGAAAACTTCCGTGAAGCGGTAGCTGCTGGACAAGACTGCTGTAGCCTGTCGAGGGCGCGTGTGTGTGTGGCTTAGTCACCTCAGTCACTTTTCAGCCCCACACAAGCAGTCACCTCCCCGGTACGTTCAGCAGAAACTGCCCATCCCATTTGTACCACCAAGGGAGGGACGCTCCTTCTGCCAACGCAGCACGCTGTGGGCTGACTTGATTAAAACCGATGGACAAAGAGGAGTCTGTGTCCCCACCAGAGATGCATGTGGATCTGGTCTCACAGTCAGTTGTGCTGGCCCAAGGCACCCAGGGTGGCTTTAGAATCTCAGCCCTGTGGACTGAGGAAATTGGCCGGGAGCAGCGAGGTGGACAGACTCTCCCTGCAATCTTCCCACAAGCCCCATGGTTCTTTGGGACAGTCCTCCTTCCGGCAGCCCTGAGTGTGTCCAGCTCCCCCCCCACTCTTTTCTCTGTATTGATCAGGCTTCCCTAGGTCGGCCTGGGTTCGATGATCCGCACGTTTCATCCCCCTTCGTCTAGAACACTTGATAGGCAGGATTTCTTGTTGTTGCTGCTGTTAAATATTCCAAATAAATTTTTGGGGCCCCTTGGCAATGGCTGTTTTGGGTTTGCTTCCTTGAGTGACCTGTCCCATACAGGGACGCGTATGACTGTGCCTTCTGGTGCAGTGACCCAGATGTGCTGAGTGGGAAGGGGGCGCAGAATGTGCCGGGGAGCTCTGAGGGTCCGTCTCACATTCCTCACGCACCAAGGCTGTGGAGGCTGAAGGGGTGTAGAGTGACCCTGAGGAAGAATTGGAAAAGACCCCAGACATTGTTTAGGCTAATGTCATTTTATAAATGAGGAAACTGAGGCCCACAGAGGTTAAACAAGTGACTTTTGAAGTCTTTCATGCCATGGCCCCTTCTACCTTTCCAGTCTTCTTATGGCTTAGACTCCCCCCGCCCCAAGCAATTCAGTGACAGGGTGCCACCTTTCTGTCCCTTGAACAACACACTTCATCACCTGACTCTAGACATTTTCCCTGGTTGTCTCCCATGCCTGGAAGTCTCCCCCTCCTCATCCCTGCCTCCTGGTTTCCTTCAGATCCCAGCTAAGATCCCACCTTCTCGGAGAAGCCTTTCCTGCTCCTCCTTACTCTAGTGCCTTCCCTCTAAGACTGCCTCTGATTTATCCAGCATCCATAGCTTCTCTGTACATAGTTGTTTGTGTGGCATCATCCTCATCAGGCTGGGACCTCCTTGGGGGCAGAGTCTGAATGCTTAGCACACAGTGGGTGCTTAAATAAATGCTTGTTGACTGACTTTTAAAGTGCTTTGCAAACTTGAGGACTCTAAATGTGAGCCATTCTCATTGGGTGAAAAGTGTTCTTTTAAAGTTAAGACAAGCAGCACACCTCCTGTTGGGGAAGGAAGCTGTCTGTTATCTTAAATAATACCTACTATTTCGTTGGGTGTATATTGGTCAAAGCCTTCTTTCCTGTTGATTTCAGTATAAATTGGAAATGTGTTTGTTGGGGAAAAATTGGGGCCTGAAAAATCACTTCCGAAAGAGTGCTAAAAAGCCATCCATCTAAAGCAGTGATACGGGGTGAGAGTACCCAGTGACTACAACGCTTTCCTTGGGCACCAGTGGTACTCGGAAGCCCTGTAGAACTTTGTCTGCAAGCATACAACCAACCTATCAATAGACATTTATTAAGCCCCTACTATGTGCCAGGCATCCATTTGTACCCTGCCGAGCATTGAGCCTCTCCCACATTAGACTGAAGCCGAGGATGCTCAGACTTGCTCAGGCTTTCTCACTCTGGACTCTGGCCTGAAGACTGTCTAGTTCAGGTTGGGCTGCTCCTTGTCAGGGCAGAGCCTTCTATGGCTATGAGCTTCATTTGGGCCAAGGTGAGGGACCTAGTTGGCAGGCGGTTGTCTCAGAGTCAGTCTCTAGGTGTGGCTGGTCTGTTTGGCCCAAGGACGGTGAGGGGAGCAGGATAGAATATGGCCCTAGATGCTCTGGGTTTCTCTCTTCTTGACTGGTTATGGCAGCTGAAACCTTGCACATCTCTCTGCCTTTGGGAGTGGCTGTCAACTTGTGCAAAGGAAGGGGGTCTTCTTTCTTGGTTGGGGAGGTGGGGGAGACAACCATAGCAAGAAGGAAATTCAAAAGGCATCCCAAAGAAATAAAGGAACCCCTTCACTGGAAACCCAAGTGAGGTTTCAGCAAATGCAGGGGCCATTTACCACATTCTAAGAATCTCAAAATGTCGGTGCCTCTTAGATTGTTCAGATACAGATGCTGTAGGTGGTGCAGTGGGTAGAGAGCACTAGACCTAGAGTCAAGAAGACCTGAGTTCAACTCTGGCCTAGCTGTGTGTTCCTGGAGAAGTCACTTAACCCTGTTTGCCTCAGTTTCCTCATCTGCAAAATGAGCTGGAAAAGGAAAGAGCAAACTATTCCAATATCTTTGCCAAGAAAACCCCAAATGGGGTCATGGAGAGTCTGACATGACTAAAGGACTAGATAACATGGACACAGAGGGTTCCAAAAGTATTAGTTCAGTTTTAAGTATGTATCCATTTTGAGATAAATCTCATTTATGCAGGCAACCTCCTACTCTGCCTAAAGGTAGGGCCAGCCCTGTTTCACTAGCAATCCTGGGGTGGGGGGGAAGGCATGGTAGAACCTGGAGTGGGCCTGACCCCCGGACTGTCCCTGCTCACGGCCTTACAGGGCCCTGGCTCTGGGTCACTTAGCTCTTAGGGGAGCTTTGGACCCAGGACCAGCCGCTGAGCTATAGGCCAAGGAAGAAGCCAGGGAAGGCATGGGAAACTCCCAGTCCTGTCTCTCTCTTATTAAAATGAAAATAATTGTGAATGTTTCCTGGGACCCTGGAGTCAGAGCTGGAAAGGACCTTAGAGGTCATCTCACCCAACTTCATTTCACAGGTGAGGAAACTGAAGTTCAGAGAGGAAGTGCTTTGCCCAAGCTGCCATAGAAGAGAGCCAGGATTGGAACCCAGGTCTGGTGACCCACCAAAGCCCGCTTTCCACTAGGCCACACAGTAGGTGTTTAATAAATCCCTGTTACTGGATTGATGGATTAGTTAGTTCTCCTTTGGTTACCACATCACCCAGCTGGGTCATATTAGCTCCAAGCCCTCTAAAAGCACCAATGTTTTAGAGTCCCAACACAGATGGGTTTTCCAGGGGAGGATTCTTGGCAGGATGCAAATACTGGCTCAGAGCCTTGCCGCTCAACACCGTCTGCCCCTTGTCTCCTTTATTCCATTTAGATTTCGTGTCCTCCACATCAGCCCACTGCTCCTGCCTCTTGAGCTATTTGGAGAGCTCAATCCTGTTGCTGAAATGGATTCAGCCTCTGTCCAAGTTTTATATAAACCGTAAGAGGTCAAGGATGAAAGAATGGAGAAAGAGGCGGGGGGGGGATTGGGTGATGCAGGGAATACCACAGACAGATTGGACTGGAAGAGCAGATTTGCGCTGGATGCAAGGGAAGATGCCCTAACAGCTGCTCCAGGAGGTAATGAGCTCCCCATCCTGGGAGTGCTGCAATTGGAGGCTGGATGGTTGCTAGTCAGGCCTGGTATAGAAGGGCCTCTTGTTCAGAGACGGGTTGGATTTGCTGCTTCTGGAGCTCCTTCCTGCATGAGATCCCATCATTTGTAAACCGAAAGTAGAGTCTGCTCAGTGACCTGGGAGGGCTGTATGACACCTGACTGAGGATCCACCCTCCACCCCTCAACCCATGTGGTCACTCAGCCTGGGCTTGAAAACTCCATTGAGGAAGAACCTGCTGGCAGCTGTTACACTTTGGAAACTGCTATCATTGCTACTGCATGAAGTTACCTCCCTAGAGCTCCCCACTCCCATTGCTTCTAGTTGTGCCTGGTCTAGTTATCTGCCTCAGTTTCCTCATCTGTCAAATGAGGCTGTTCTAAGTACTCTTTCTAGCTCTCAAGTCTGTAATCCTAGGGAAAACTGAGTGTCCAGGACTGCAGAGGACCAGTCACTGTTGAAGGGTCAGTGGCTTACAAAGCCTACTAGATTGATGCAGGTGTGTTTCCCACACGGAAGCGTGAATTCTTAAAGGGATGTTGGTGCTCTTGGAAAAGTGAGTGCTAAATGAAAGGTGGTGAATATTACACTCCAGGCTGCTATTTTATTTGAAGATACAGTCACGTGTTGACAAAGCATAGTTAGCACAAGGAGAATGGGGCTCTGACATCTGGTATTGATCAATTAGGTGGTACATTGAAGGACTTGGACATTCACTAGCCATGTGACCCTGGGCAAGTCACCTCACTTGGTTATCTCAGCCTCAGTTTCCTCATCTGTAAAATGGGGACCATAATAGCTCCTGTCCTCCAGGGACCACTCCAATCCAGATCATGAAAGTGGAAGGAATTCCTGCCAGCGAGCGCCGCCAGGCTGCGGTCAAGCAGTTTCACAACTCCAAGATCAAGTTCCCTCTGCTGCACGGAGTTGCCTCCAAGAGGCCCAACCCTTTCTTCTAAGTGCAGAGACGAGGAGGCACTCATTTTATTTGATCTCTTTAAATAAATTTCTCAATTGGGAACCTCCCGAAACCCATTAGAAAATGAGTACTGCTAACATATGGTTTTCTAAGTCAGTATGCTATCTGCACATAGGATCCTTGGGTAAGGTTTGGTGGCCCTGTTTCTATTTGAGTCTGATGCTACTGGCACAAAGGGTCGATCAGAGAGGTGTCCTAGTAATTGGATGACATCCCCTGTAGGGCACTCTCTCTGAGACCTGACGGTGGACATGCACCTTCCCATAAAGTGAGTAGCATGGCTCCTCTTCTAGGCTTTCATCTGATCTTGGCTGGGAAAGCTGAGGCTTCAGGACACCCTGGGGCAGCCCAGCACAGGGAGTTAGCATTAGTGATGGGGTTTGATAGACCATTGTTTGGTGACATCAGTGGGCTGGCCTGGGAGCTGCGCTGTCACTTTGGACTTTCTTGGGGGAAATGCAATGTGAGTGTGAAATAATGGATTCACACACAGAATAGATATGCAGGGGCTGGTGAACTTAACAATTTTTAAAAAATTTTGTTAATTTATTTTGATTTATCAACAATCACTTCCATATGCTTTTGAGTTTAAAATTTTTCTTCCCCTTCCTCCCCACCACCCTCCCCAAGACGGTGCACAATCTGATACAGACTATCCATTTACATTCCTATTAAACATATTTTCACATTAGTGGTGTTTTAAGCAAAAATTAAAACCAATAGGAGGAACCATCAGAAAGAGGAAACAAAACACAACAGAAGAGAAAAAAACAGCAATTCAACTTTCATAGTTCTTTCTTTGGATGTGGACAGCATTTTCCATCACAAGGCCTCTGGAGATGTCTTCGATCCTTGCATTGCTGGGAAGGGTTAACTTTATCAATGTTAGTCATCACGCGACGTGGCTGTTATTGTGTACAATGTCCTCTTGGTTCTGCTCACTTCACTCAGCATCAGACCATACAGCTCTTTCCAGGTTTTTCTGAAGTCGGCCTTGAACTTACAATTTAAAAAATGTTATGAGAACTGTATTTCAATAACTGG